ATTGAATTTGATCATGACAACCTAACTGAACATAGGACTTCCCCAAGAAATGCCACAAAGCAATGTCCTCCGCCATCTGCATTCATCGACTTTCTGCATGTCTTACCAGGTCGTCACTCGATCTAGTGGGGGAACGCCCTACACTTCGCCTGCCGGTACGGGGCTGCTACTCGAAAACCTTTTTACCCATCGTTTGTCGGTTCTTCGAGCTCGAATTCGAGAAAGAAAATTCGAGTTATGGCCGGATCATTGCCACTTAAGCCTATTAATCGGGACTCGGAACTCGGTCTGTAGTTCTTCAAAAGAATGTTGTCGCCTTTCTTGAAGAACAAGAGCACTTCCCGGAACGTCGGAAAAGAAAAAATTAAATTAAACGCAATAAAATCCGTAAACATTAGGTTCATAAGAAATCTTTATAAAGTATTTGCGTTTCATTATCCGGCCATTGCCGAATATAGCGATTTAATAGCGTCGTCGGAGATTTATTCGAAATATTTAGAGTTGTTTAATGATGTTATATTACGAATTATTTTCTTGGCTCTGTTGTATGTATTTAGTATTTAAATATACTGCGTGATTTTTTTACCATTTGGAAAAAATAGGGTGTAACCGGTGAACGGAATAGAAGCCTATGCTACTGATATTTTACAATAATTTTTTTATATTACTATAACATATTATGAAATTGATCTATCAATAAATACTACTAATTTGAAATAAAATTTCGGTACTAAGAAATAACAACAAAGTTTTTGAACTAAATAAACAAAATAATTAAAAACTATCGAAATTAAAATAATACATACCCAATTAGTGGAAAGGGTAGGGTGTGGAAAAATCAGTAACAATTGAAAACAAAGTGGCCAGGATTCGGAAATCACTGCGCTGGCGTGTAGTAAACCACTTTAACTGGGTGCGAAATTCTATAACAAGATCGTCTATGCGCAGGCCAAAGATGAATCGTATGCAGTTATTAAATATTATGTTCAAACTGTTTAGCAGTTCCTGAGACATATTAGTGAGACAAATATCGGCATAGTCAAATAGTGGTAGAATTAGAGATTGAATGAAAAAAAGTTTAGTTCAAGGAAGCAGAAATAACTTAGAGGCTATAGGCGGAACGAAGTATGCATGTGAGTTAACGACAAACCTCTGATACCTGTAACATCCAACTAAGATACGGGTTAATATTTAAACCCATATCCTTGACACTATTGCGTAAGAGAATAACACAGTTTTCGTAGTAATGGTAGTTCAGATATGTTAAGTTGTGACACCAATCGACGACTTCCAATGACGATAGCCTGGCATTTACTGGGATTTACTATTATACCAAGGCGCTGTGACCAGTCGGACATTCGTTGTAAGTCACGATTAATAGCTGCGATAGCAGTATCAGTAGTATAGTGGTAAGAAAATTGAAGGTGAAATTGAAAAAAGAGAAAGAATACCGCCTTGCGGTACACCTAGAGACAGATCACCCCAGTCGGGGAAATTGCCTGCTGGCGACCACGAAGATAAGAGGAAAACCAGTCCAGTGCTGACGAGGAGAAATTTAGACGTGAAAGTAATCCAAGGAGTAAATCGTGATCGACACAATTGAATGCGTTTGAAAAGTCTTCTATAAAGTATTCTATGACTTGAAGTAATGCTGTGGTGGTACTGCGTCCTGGGCGGAAGTTAGACTGATATATGCTAAGGAAGTTGCATGTTGAAATGGAAGAGGTGACTCGTTTGTTTGCCAATTATTAAAGAGCTTAAAGTGGCAGTATATAAATAGGTCTAGTGGGAATGAAGCGATGAATTTGATACTTTAGCAAGGGGTAACACAAAAGCTTTTAGCTATACCTTGGGGGAAACACCAGTAAAATGTGAAAAAATGATGATGTGAGTGTGAACTGGAGTAATGATATCGAGTATGAGAAGTATCATAGATCTACTCACCTCATCATAGCCGCTTGTGAAAGATTTTTTTGCAGGTATAGCTTTTCTAGTACGCTCGTTAGTCACTGAACTGAAGTTGAAAGAATTATTTGATAACAAAAGCATGGAATTAAAGTTCGTGGAGATTCATAACTTTGGTGGAATAATACAGGCGCGAAACAGAATAGAAGTGTATGTTCAAGTCATCAAGAGAAATATTTGGGGTAAAAGAATTGGAGTGTTAGTTTTGTGGATGTAGCGGCGCTTGGCAGTTCTTACCACCAGATTACAGCGGTTTCGTGCTCGTTTATAGTGTTGAAGTGAGAATGATCCAATTCTTTTTCAAAATGTGAATATCTCGATCTCTTCTTATCATTGTTTTACGCACTTCATCTGTTATCTAAGGTACAGGAGGACAGCATATACGGACTGCTCAAACCGGTGCGTGCCTATCGAATAGATCGAAAATTTGTGTGTTCCAATGAACAATGTTATCTTCAACATTTTTTTGGTTCCTGCACTGGGCCCCATTCTATATTGGTATCGCGGTCTAGTCAAATGGTTCATAGTGATGAACCCAAGTTACGTCTCCAGCCACAATTTTTTTCATAATTTCTTCCCTGTTCTCAGTACACAGGTCTCAAAACTCGCGCGAACACTCGGGCCCCTGCTTTTTCTGCAGCGGTGTAAGCATTCTTGGCACTCATCTTAGACTGATCTTAGACATGTCAAGATTATCATGTTTAAAACGGTCATAAATGTTACTCCAGTAATTTCAGCAATCTGTTTTTTTATTCAGATGAGCATTTTCAAGAAAAAGTTTTTCAACATTTTCGACAATGTCTGAGGAAATTACCTAATCGGTTATTCGAGCGCTGATCGACTTCAATTGAGTCTTTGTCTTGCTTAAAAACGCTATGGCACTTATAAATCATCGTTTTTCCAGAGCAAGTCCCCGTAAACAGATGACATCTCTTTCGTAATGATATGTGGCGTTTTTTACTTGCTTATTGAGGAATTCAATCACTTCACTTCCCGATTTACTTGTTTATCCTGTGATATCTCAAAGATTAATGAACCTAACTGGTATTTATAGTTGTGTAGAGTCACTAAGTAGTGACAGTTAAAAATAACCTCCCTTCCCTCTTTATGCCCTCCATTCCGCGAAGTTTTTGACCTGTCTATGTTTTACTGCTGGGTACTGGCCTACTCTCATTTCTGAAAGAGTTATGGAGCAACAAGTCGCCGTTGTATGTCCGCCGCCTAGCTCCGTTGCGTAATGGTGTCGTGACACAGACATGCAGATTTTCTCGCTATGTTTTTCTTCACCATGTGGCAAATCGGCACTTAAAATTGCAATTAAAAACATTATTGACTGCGGCGGGGAGTTTCTCGCGTACTGTTCAGTTTACGGTGAGCGCTTGAATCCTGAGCGACAACTTCACTGATAATCGCAGGCAGAGACTACGGACTTCCATTTGGTACTATCAGGAAAAATCTCTCATTCTTCTTTCACATACACATAATATCTACATAAACATGCTTGTTGGTTAAGAATATGTACTCTTAATTTGATCCAACTTCAATATATCGCTATATTTGGCGATGAATATCTATAGGGCGTCCTTTGCTGACTCTGCCACTTACTTCTGCAGCATCAATTTACTTAATTTAATTTCATTTACTTTCCGCATTCATACTATTTACGTGTCCAAACCATGAAGCATTCCTTTCTTGAACCCGGTCACGACATTTTTTTTTTAGGTATATCACACAATTCCTCACCCTATCATTCAAAATATTACCTAACATATTTCTTAATAACCACGTTTCCACAGCATTGATTTTACTACAATGCCACATCTGACTTTCACTATCATATATTAACGTTGCCGGTACAGCCTATCATAAGTCCAGTTCTGATTATAGGCCTCCCCACAAATTGCCTCATAGGATGGATATTGCTATAGCTGCCACACTTAGCAGGCAGAATTTAACTGTTATTTTGGATTTTTGTGTTTTAATTTTTTTTTGTTTTAATTAAGAAGGCTCTGCTGTATATCTCCTCGTTTTTTCCCTATTTTTTATAGTGGCGGTGTAAGAATGTCTACAACCCCATATCGACCCGTGGATGTCGTAAAAAGCGACAGAGGATAATAAACCATACATTTTCTGTAAATTGCCTTGCGTACCATCGACACCTGACCTTAAAGGAGGAGAGGAGTTTAGGTTAGTTTTTAATTTATTAGTTTTCTTCGCATGACTTCTTTGTGGAATCGGCTGCTTTCTTCTGGACCGATACGACTTAGGGAACTTCAAGAAAAGAACCTCTTTTTTACTCTTTTTTAAAGGCCCGCCACGCATCTGAAATTCCCCTGGGGATGCAATTATTCATGGACGGCGGTAGTCACTCACTATTTAGTTGCATGCTCGTCTACCCCCTCCTATATCTCTATTTTATATAAAAATCAATTGCTGTCTATTAGAGTCGCTAAAACTCGGATAAGACTCAAAGGATTTTGTTGTGCGTTTGGGTGGGTCTCTGAATGGAATACTAAGTGAATAGTTTTCCATTCAGAGACTTTTTTTGTTCAATGAAACGACGCTTGTAATTGTTTTGAATTTATTTTGTTAATTTACAGACAAATATTACTAATTACATATTACACACTATGGCAAGAACCAATCTCAGTTTAGTATAGACAATATTAGATTAACTCGCGTATGATACATGATATAACAATATATTTATTATACATTAATAATAAATTATTAAAGTTTTACTTAATAAGTACATAATAATACATCTCTAAGCGTTTATCTTGATTACAAAGGAATTCGTATAAATTGCATGAGTAAATCATTTATACCTAATATAATTATTAACATATATAGGTATTTTACATACGCCCAGCATATAAATAAAGCATTGACACCAAAATTGTATCCTAAAAAACTGCTAGTAATAACATACATAACTATACAACTTATTACTCATAGCCTTGTAGAAAAATCACCATTCAAAACACTGAAAAGTTAAAATTAAATTAAAAGTAACCCATATTAGTGATACTTAATCATTTATTGGGTGGAAAGTCAAGTGTAGTATATGCTGTTCTCGTCCGTGGTAGTCCTGGCCGACGAGGCCTTGGATGTGTTTTTCCTCCCTCAGTAGCTGTAATAATTCCACCCTCTCCCTCTTCAGGCAAATACGGTGTTCGTGGATTTAGCACTAGCGCTTTATATGACGAATGTGAATCAGCTATGCTTCTTCCATCGCCTTCATCTCTACGCGAAAGCTCGGAAAATGGAGACACAGACCTTTTTTCTAAGCCACTTGGCCCTGGAGCCTCTTCTTTAGGTTTCAACTCGTAAGCGTTCTCTTCCTTACGCTTGGGCTCCACATCCTTTTTGAACTTTGCTTGACGCTCAATTATTTCTGCAGTTGTTAGATCCGAGCCTTGAACATCAGTTTCCAAGGGTGGAGCTGAGAGCCAAGGTCTTGATGTATTATTACCGCACCATCTTTCTTCATTTTCGCTTGTGTCACCTAAAAGCCCAAGTTTCTCTAGATTTTGTAATAGTAGATTTTCACTTGAACTGGCAGCCCTCATTTCACTTTTGGATTCTTCCGCTAGCAATAATTCAGCTAAAGGTGGGGCAAGACCTAAACCAATATTTCTTTCATGGTAAACCTCTGAAATTGTGGGAGTAAGTTCTCCACTCATGTGTCGAACTTGCGCCATGGAGTCTCTACTGCTTGTACCCATCTTTGGTCGAGCAACTCTCTTCGAAGTTGAAGGTTGGTTCATGGCTTGATCGGTTTTTTCTTCTTCAGTTCTTCTGGGTTGTGCAGATGCTAGATCGTAGAAAGCATCTAAATATCTAGTGTGAGAGTGCTCGGGACGTCTTCTTAAGACAGTATCGTGGCCAGAGCTTTCCCAGTCTGAATCATCAGTTGAAGGGGGTCTCCTTGTGTAAAGTGTTCTGATCTTCGTTTGATGCGCTAACGCTAGTGATACATCTCTTTGTGGTGCAGTTGATGTTGATGGCGGGGCTGCGGGTGGTGATGGTGTAAAAGCTGCGTCACTTTCACCACGGTATCTTGGAGGCGGTGGTGCGGGTGGAGGAGCAGTTCTACCATCAGGTTCACCACGGCCAACTTCAGTATTGGATGTAGTTCCTCTTACATACATAGTGAATGCTCCGCCACAAGATCCCAAGGGTAGTGGAGGGGGTGGAACCGAAGAAACGCTCTCTTCTGAAATAGAAAATTGAATTTATAAGACATTATTTTAATAGAAACTAAATTTACAAACTTGTGGAATATATATTCAACTTATAATATTTATGAGATAAAGGAACAACTTCAGACTACAACAATAAATATTATGCTTACGTCTATGTTCTCTTGGTGGGGATTCACCATCAGAGTGAGGTTCTAAATCACCATCGTCTATAGACGCCAGGGATTCCACACTTGAACTTGATTCTAAGCTAAGACTGCGAGGAGCTTCTTGGGTATCTGGAAAAATTATTTATGAAACGTTCGATACCTTATCATAATACTAAGAAGTAAAGTTTAAAGTCACATTATATAAAGCTTACCAAAGAGAGCGAGCAAAGCTTGCAACACGAATTGTATATGTCGTCTGTTTGCCGTCTTTCCAGTACGCAGAGTTACTTCATCTTGCCCAACTTCAGCCAGATCGAAGCCTAATGATGCCAGCAGTTCATGGCAGCCGTTTACACGCCAAAGCCTGTATTTAAAAGTTATTGTAAATGTTAAAAAATAAAATTATTTACGTGTGCATTGAAAATTGCCCGAAAATATAACTGTTTAACGAAAAAAGTTTTAAATAATATATTGAAACTGATGAAGATAATTATTTAGATACAAGTAGCCTTAGAACCTTACGTAACTTGTAGTGCAAATCAATTATCATATTCATCAAAGCTCTTTGAAAGACTGTAAGACAGTAACATTTTTATTTAATAGTACTTTTCATAATTAAAATATTTTTAAATGTTAGTATTTAAAGTTATTAGTATTTAAAGATTGTTTCATTATTCGCCATTTGATATTGCAAATAGAAGAAAAAATTTTATCATCTGAGCAAGCAACATGCATATATTAAAATACAAGTCACTAACCGCACGTTCACTGCTACTTCAATGGTGTCGCTTTCAGAGTTTTTGACAGAAAACTGCGATATGACAGATCGGATCACACCAATAATTTCATCAGCCACATCTCCGTTAGATATTAGTTTCGAAAGTGCTTGAAGTGTCGTCGGAGTTAATCCTACAATAATTAAAAAAAATCTATTAGTAAGTGAGATAAGATTTATGAGAAATCGACCATTTTTATCTTTTCCTTTGTCTCCACATCACTGAACTCAACCAGGGAAAAAGTTTTAGGAGTTTTCATAAACAGTCGACTTAAAGGGTGTAGACGCACGCAACGGCTGATGGACAATGCGTCAATTATTCTACTGCTAATATTCTTCAATGATCGATTTTGGATCCAAAATTATATAAAATATGATTTTAATTATTTATAAAAAATATTACCCAGTAGAGCTTGTAAGCTGGCTGAGCATTGGGTCAATCTTTCTTCGGGATCACTTTGAGGGAAAAACACGCTCGATGGTATGCCATTTGCCGCTGGTTCAAATCTAACAAAAACGTTTGAAATTAATGGTAAAAACAGTAGCTGCATATTACATTAAGTATGAAATTAATTTGGAAATTGAGTAACAAAAACGTAGAAGGTACCTGAAACCAACACTCATCAAAAGTTCTCTCCACCCGGTTGCAGGTCCAGCCTTATTTTCGATGCTCTTTTGTGTTGTATACATGGCGTTTTTCTGCCCTCTCACGATTCTCTGTAGAGATTTCTCTACCAAGTGCAGGCAGACTCGTAATGCATCCCTGAAACCAATAGGAATAGTTTAGCTGTGACGGCAGAATAATTATTTACCAATTTTTTTATAATTACAAAATGTTATATCATTTTTAATTAAATTAAAATTAAAAACGAATAATAGTTACCATGTAATGTTTAATAAAAATGCTTATTAATGCTTATAGAAGATAAAGTAGAAATAGAAATAAGGTTTAAAAAATACTACTGTGACGGCCAACATATCGATAATATGCGCTTTTAAGAGATTGTGTTCTTTTCTATAATCGTTAATTATACAAGACAGATAAAAATAAAGTGGAAATAATTTGAATATACGTTTGTGACATCAAAAATACAGCATTGTCTCATGCTAGTTATGCGCGAGTTATGTCACAACACAAAGTAAGAGAGCAAGTGAAACGTTCTATCGTATTCTATAATATAACTATATTAACAATCGCTTCGACTTATTTTGTTGGAAAAGCCTATTTCCTAAATTAGGTAATATTGAAAATCATTAACATAACATAACAAAAACACGCCTGTCACCCAGAGGTTAGTTAGGCAGAGACTACAGACTTCCATTTGGCACGATCCAGACACACCTCTCCCGCCTCTTTCACATCCATATACCTACGCATACATGCCCGTCGGTTAAGGGTACTCCTAATTTGGCCCGTTTTCAATAAATCGCCAATTTGGTCGATACATTTTCGCCTAGGACGTCCCTTTCCGACTCTGCCATTCACTTCTGCAACAATTTCCAAATGAAGAAAAAAATTTTCTTTGTCACTCTTTCCTCCTTCATTCTTTCCACATGACCAAACCACCGAAGCATTCCTTTCTTAATCTTGGCCACAACATCATCTTGCAAACCACACTCTTCTTCTCTCTATAATTAAATCTCTAATATTGAAAAAATCTTATAAAATTACCGGCATTTGTCAGGCGCGGCGAGAAGCTCACAAAGCGCCTGACCCATTAGCGCGACCTTGTTGCTGAGTCGCACGTTGGCGCCCAGCAGCGCGAGTCCCGCCCAGTGCGCCGGGTGTGCGAAGTGCTTTGTGTGCCGCACCGTCTGCATCGCGTCGCCCAGAGCTCTGTCGAACAAATAACAAATAAATGTATTTTCTGTTCAAACGGTTTAGTTTTTACTTATATTACGGATTTTAGACTAAAGTCCTGTGCTCTTAGTGAAGTCTGACGGAAATTAAGTCTATAGTATATCATGCACCATATATGTTTGGCTAAAGGCTTCTTATGCTTATCGGGCTAGCAGGAGAACGTTACACACTGCGATTTCGTAACGGATTATAAAATGCTTGATAAGAAAAGACTACTGATCAAAAATATATTGGTCGGCCACGCGCTTCAACAAGTTTTTTTTGGCAAATTATTAAATTTTTTTAAATTTAGTTAAATTAGTGTTTAGTTAAACTCTATTCGGTACGTCCAGTTACGGTAAATGGAAAAGCGCGGAGAGTGCGCGTTACAGGATCTTCGAGGCTGTGTCCTGCGGCGCGGACCACAGCGCTCACTCACCATAACATCTCAATAAGTAAACACTAACTTGGCAACGCGGCTGCCCTGCAGCAGCGCGGAGTAAAGCGCGCGGTACAGGATCTTCGTGGCGGTGTCCTGCGGCGCGGGCCACAGCGCTCATTCACCATAACATCTCAATAAGTAAACACTAACTTGGCGACGCGGCTGCCCTGCAGCAGCGCGGAGTAGAGCGCGCGGTACAGGATCTTCGTGGCGGTGTCCTGCGGCGCGAACCACAGTCTCACGCACCATAACATCTCAATAAGTAAACACTAACTTGGCAACGCGGCTTCCCTGCAGCAGCGCGGAGTAGGTGCGCGGTGGTAGCGCGGTGTTTTGCGGCGTGGACCACAGTGCTCATGCACCATAACATCTCAATAAGTAAACACTAACTTGGCAACGCGGCTGCCCTGCAGCAGCGCGGAGTAGAGCGCGCGGTACAGGATCTTCGTGGCGGTGTCCTGCGGCGCGAACCACAGTGCTCACGCACCATAACATCTCAATAAGTAAACACTAACTTGGCAACGCGGCTGCCCTGCAGCAGCGCGGAGTAGGTGCGCGGTGGTAGCGCGGTGTTCTGCGGCGCGGACCACAGTGCTCATGCACCATAACATCTCAATAAGTAAACACTAACTTGGCAACGCGGCTGCCCTGCAGCAGCGCGGAGTAGAGAGCGCGGTACAGGATCTTCGTGGCGGTGTCCTACGGCGCGGACCACAGTGCTCACGCACCATAACATCTCAATAAGTAAACACTAACTTGGCAACACGGCTGCCCTGCAGCAGCGCGGAGTAGAGTGCGCGGTACAGGATCTTCGTGGCGGTGTCCTGCGGCGCCGGCCACAGCGCGAGCAGCACGGCGTGCGCGCCGGCCGCCAGCAGCGCGCGGCACAGGCGCGACACCCCGCCGCTCGCCGCCGTCACCTCCGCTCCCTCACCCTCCGCTTGCTCGCTCAAAGCCGCGCTCGATGGGGCGCACGATATTACCACCTGTGTTAAACAAGATATAAAGAAACGCCCTTTAATTAGATATACTTTTTAGAGTACAATGAAGTTACGTTTTCCAGGTGTTAGAACCCGTTTTCTGCCTACGAGTCTATCTAAGTAGTTACCGGCCTCTTAACTATTTTTGTCGCCAAATAACAGTGCTTGCTTTGCTATCTTCCACTCTGAAGGGTATAGAGAGCCAGTCTAAACACGGGCTGTAGGACATTCCATCTTAGCCCTTAGAGGTGACAACGCATCTGTCTTTGCGCAACGCATTTGTACAAAGGTGAATGCAGATGAGATGCTGAACTTACCATCAGATGGACTGTAAGTTCGTTGGTCACTTTAATTTATGAAAGAAAACTCTAAAAGTCAACTGGCTAACAGTAACGACATTGCAGAAAAAAGTAGATGTAGAAAGTGTTTTATCTTGCATAAAGAAACTATTCTTTCATTACTTTGAATTATTCTTTAGGATTTTATAAGAATCATAAGTATCATAAAATATAAACACATTTGTATCGTGTCGTGTGTGTCTTAACAATGGGAACGACCACACTTGCATAGAACAATAGCGTAAGACCCTTTTTACACGACGTCATCAGGGCATTCCATTTCAATTCTCAAGGTTGACAACGCATTTGCGATTTTTAGTAAAGGATAGATGAAGGTATACATGAGCAATAACATCCACTTGGTATTAGTCGGCTGGGTATGTGTATATAAGTCTACCGATTTCGTCTCTTTGATATCAAAAGAAGCGACTGAGGAAAATGCCTGGAATTTCGAAACACCAGAAATACGGATAGGGAGCAGTATAACCTTCTTGTACACATGTAATAGAGATCAGAGATTTTCGACGGAAGTCATTATTAAATTTCATCACCTATGTACCTTTCAAGCATGACGCTGAATATAAATATGGAAATATGTATGCGTCAGAAATATGATCTTACCAATCGGGCTGTTATTTTCATATTCATAATTTCGGAAGCAGTCAGCATAAACTCCGAAGTAGGAGGCAGTTCTTCGTTACTTTGCGGTAGTTCAGAGTCTGCAAGAAGATTTTTTCGATATTAGTTTACGAGTTGATTGTTTAAAAACATTACTAGGCAAAGATAGAAAATAATATTAATAAGAAACAATATAATAGATATTTGAATGTACATACTTTCTTCCTCATTTTCGGTTGAGGTATCAGCAGCACCGCTGCCTACGCTTGTATTCAGAAGACGTTTTGCCTGTGAATCAACCTGTAAAAACGAAATAAATAATATTTATATCAAGCCAAGCATATTAATTCATTATATAACTACCTGAGGGTTAAGTCTTAGTGTAAAGCGTTCTGCGGAGCGTACCGCATGCTACGTAGAAAGTCTTAAACTAAGATCTTGCGACTAATTTATTTATTATTACTTGTTCTCTTAGGTACTTACAATTAGTAATAAACTAACATATGTATTTAATGTGAATAAACTGATATATTATGGTATCTTTTGTTCGTAAAACTTATTTTTATTCCAACTACCACTAAAATAGGCAAATTATAAACACTGCTATTGTTTTAGAATGATGTGTTCTCCTATAATTGGTAGTACATAGTAATTTATGAATATAAAGCATGTGTTAGAAGTAATTTAATATGTACAACTGTTGGAGATCCATACAAATAAATAAATAAATAAATATATCTTCCCGAATACAGATTTTGTGTATTAAGTTTTAATATTCCGACATTTTAAGTATACAGAACACTAAGTAGGGGTTTTATACTTGATGAATTAGATAGCGTTCAATAATAATGGTTTGAGAGGACTATGGCTTAGGAATACGGCTATGGCTTGTCGGTGTGAAATTGTAAAAAGCTTTGGGTACTGATGAAAATACTTACAACCTCTCCTGGACTTAGGACGATGCCCGGTGTTTTCCAGCAAACATGAGTGGCGAAGTGTACGCATTCTGCTTGAGGCAACTGTGCCAGAACAGCTTCCTTAGATGCCTGCACGATAAGAAATAAATGAGGTTGTTACTAATGCTTATTGGTTTAGTTGGCCACATTAATACATTGTCAGATTCACAAATTTTCCAAGAAACTTAGCTGAACTTTTTTATATTTGCGATTGTTGCCTTTTGGTGGAATTTGATTGTACAGTTTATGAGTAATGTAAAACTCCACGCACAATTTTTTAAAATTGTATTTTAATCCCACATATTATATTATATATACATAGAGTTTTGAATTGACTGAAGGCATGCCTTTTTATTAAGGCAAATATAAGACATGTAATATTTAACAATGTCGATAAAACTACATTACTTATTGAAGTACGTACAGTTTTCTTCCTCATTTTAATTTATTTTACATATATTTATATAAAATTTTACTCCCACTAATATTATAAATGCGAAAGTGTGTTTGTTGGTTTGTATTTATATCACGCAGCAACGCGGCAACGAATCGACATGTTTTTTTTTGTATAGATATAGTGTATGGGAGGGAATGTCATAGATTACATTTTATTCCGTAAAAATTCACGCTTCAAATCTGGAAGGTAATTCTTGGAATAGCACATCATCATCATCATCATTACAGCCCTTCACAAGTCCACTGCTGAACATAGGCCTCCCCCAAGTAATGCCACAAAGCACGGTCCTGAGCCACCTGCATCCATCGACTTCCTGCATGTCTTACCAGGTCGTCACTCCATCTAGTGGGGGGTCGCCCTACACTACGCCTACCGGTACGAGGCTGCCACTCGAGAAACTTTCTTCCCCATCGGTTATCGGTTCTTCGAGCTATATGGCCGGCCCATTGCCACTTCAGCTTACTAATCCGTTGGGCTATGTCGGTCACTCTGGTTTTTTTACTGCGGATATCCTCATTTCTGAGTCTATCACGCAGTGAAACTCCGAGCATAGCCTTCTCCATAGCTCGCTGAGCGACCTTGAGCGTCCTCATACGGCCAGCGGTGAAGGACCACGTCTCAGATCCGTAAGTCATCACTGGCAACACGCACTGGTTATACACTTTAGTTTTCAGATATTGAGGTATACCTGACGAGAAGATGCGTCGTAATTTCCAGAACGCTGCCCAGCCGAGTTGAATCCATCGATTGACCTCTCGGTCAAAGTTGGACAAAGGTTGGTCGAAGTTTGAATAACACATTGGCTGTGATTTTTCGAAGTTATCTTGTTTTCAAACCTCCGAAGCCGGTAAAGCCGTGGAAAACAAACTTACTTACTAAATAATTAAGAGTCCCAATATACTCACTTGATAGTCTGTAAGCGGTGTGACTCGCAGCATGTCGGCAACGAGCTCTGCTTCCTTGAGCTGGGCGTGCACACTGGCCCAGCGTGTGCCGCCTACACGTGGCCCGCCCACAACCAAGCAACGCATACCTGTTTCCGCTGCATTGGCTGATGATGAACCTGACGCATAATAATTTAATATAGTTAAAGATAGTGAAAGTCTTCTGTCTTTTGTTTATAACAATAGTAGCAGTTATTATCTGCTTATTTTATTACAATAATAATAATTTATTAGATCTCAAGTAAAACAAAATTAGTGATTAACTTAACAGATTACAGCCGAGGTAGCTCAAGGGCTAAGCGCTCAATGAAATTGTTAATTACAATTTCAAGTGCAGATTTACCACGTGCTCGGTGGTGAAGGAAAACATCGTGAGAAAACCTGCATGTCTGAGAAATAAGAAATAAAATAAGATTCAAAGACATGTGATGCCAACGCATTGGGGCAGTGCGGCGGACATTTCCTTGCCCTAAAAATCTCACAGAAATGAGAGGAGGTCTGTGGCCTAGCAGTGGGAAGAATATAGGTTGTAACTTTGACTTTTATAACAGATCACTGGTGAAAACAATCTTTTATTACTAAGAGACTTTTGGGGCTGGGAAGAGTCCGAATGCGAATAGCCAGGCTTCGTTTTGTTTGTCGATGTAACTGAAAATCGGTCTGGAGGACATTATTACTATGATAGCAGAAGCACTTACCGTGTTCGCGGTCGACGCGCGCTCGCGTGTGTCTTGGGTGCCGCAGTGGGCGCAGCGCGGGCGCGGCCATAAGCGCGTACCGCTCGCACAGCGGCTCTGCATCAGCGTTGGCTCGCAGCGCGCCCCACGGGCACGCGTACAGCGCACCCTCCACTCCCACCACAAGCTCACGCCGCCCACCGCAACCGCGACGACCGTGTGACGCTGCAACGTACCAACCGACATATGTACATACATAGAATTACTTTGTACACCAGAAATATACATAGATATATTAAAAAAAAAAATATATATATATATATATATATATAATATATGCAAATCCTATACCTTTAAACAAGCAATTCTTGTATATATATTTAAAATCGTAATCTCGGAAACGGCTCGAAGGATTTTCATAAAATTTAGTGTCTAGGGGGTTTCGGGGGCAATAAATCGATCTAGCTAGGATTAATTTTTAGAAAATGACGTTTTATCTATGTTTCCAGGCAATGAAAAACTGCTACAATATCATTAGAGTAAGAAGGAAAATTTCGATATTGCGTTAATGGTTATAATAGCTCAAATGGGATATCGGGCGGTCCCAAAATCGGTAGTGGTTCGGGTCCTGTCTCCGATCCGACTTTTTAGAGAAAATTATTTCGAGCCCTTTTTTAGTATTTTTTTAAAAACACGAAAATTTAAATAAAACTAATTGCACTCATGATTTTTTATTAAAATTACCAGTTCAGTTTTTTCTATTATGTCACATACACGATTTACAAATAAAATAAATACCGAGCAAAGCTTGGTCATCCAGGAACTAATAATAATAATAATACATAAATAAATAAGACTCTACTCTACACAAAATTCACCAAAAGATGGATAAAAATATTTTTATCTAAGTATCACTTGTTTTTTAGGTACCAGTCACTATGTCAATGTTATTTTGTAATAATGTCATTCTTAGATTATATTTATATGTAAATTTTAAGTCGTCAGCAAACACGAATCCTGGATGAAAGGTTTATAGATATTAAGAAAACAAACCTCCTAGAGCACCAATTTAGCTTAAGACTTGCAACATGAACAATTACTAGCTGAAGAAGAATTATAAAATAATAAAGGACTTTAAATATATAGCTCACTTTTTGTCATAGATTTTATGCTAATTCAGTAATTTAAAAGTTAAAGAAGATATAATATGCAAACCATGATTATTATTGCAGGAGGCGGGCAGCAGGTCTTCAAAGGGCGCAATGAGCATTTGGTAGAGCATGCTAAGACATGGTGGTCCTTGCCACGCTGGTTGTTTTTTTCGGGGACCATGTGCACTGGACCTAAAAGGAAACTAAATTGTTAGTTTATTTTAAATAATGAAGTCAAATGGGTTCAAATCTGTACATTTGATTACTGTCATAAAATTCGAATGATTAAGGGGAATATTAGTAATATTACTGACATTACGTACATTAACTGTATCATTTTTTTAAATTAAAGCTCTTCTCGTCCCTCTTCTTTATCAGGCCATGGAATTCTACTGATAAATAGGGACCGTCACATTGCAGGGACAATTGTTTGAATCGTCACACCTTGCAGGTGAAATGATGTTTGCATTACTTACTAAACATTCCAAATCTTTGACTCTGCTCCCCGTCGCTAGTCTGGATATTTTACGTCTGGTATAAACGTGTTGATTAAACTGTTATTTATCAAAAGTCATTATATGATATCCATTGGACGAAATAGCGTGATGGATTTTCCTAAACCGCCACCGAACGGAAGAGAATCCATGAACTAAATATAGTATAAAAATAGTTCATTTATTTTAACATGAAAAAAATTGACATTTGATTGTGAATTTCTCATCCGATCTAGTCGGAAAGCACTTATAATCTTGAAGCCTTACAGTGGTATGCTAGTAAGGTAATTTAATATTAGTAATTATAGGATCCCAAGCGACGGTATTGGCACATGACCCAGTCATCAAATGTTTCTTGAGTACTTTTTTTGTTAATTTGAAAAATGTGGGTCTGTTGCATTTACCTTGTAGATCCCTGTAAACTGGCGACCGAGCCAGCTACTGACCCGCCGACCGAACCCACGCTGAACAGCGAGCTGAGTGAGTAATTGGACGAGTTCAGAAGGTGATTGCGTGACACCTGAAAATAATTGCGTGTTTTCACTTACAATAACAATTTTAATCAAAGAAGGCTCTAGATCTAAAATTAAAATTTTCATATTGAGAGGTTAGGTTTAAGAGAAAAATCGGGAAATATTTTTTAATTAGCTTAAAATAAAAACTTAAATTATTAAAATATTTTAAAATGTTTAATTTTTTAATTTAATTAAAAACGCTGAATAATCTGTGTACCGTAATAACAAAGAAATTATTTCGAAATAAATTGAGCCACAATTGTTAAAATCTGATGCGCTCAATGGACTTCCAATATAAATTTTCCACCTGACGATACCATCGATAATTAGCTACCGCTTATACTGTCACTTTAAAAATAAAAAATGATACTATTATTTTATTAATAAAAAAAATTATTGACGTTCTTACCATTCTAGCGAGTGCTGCATTGGGTCTTTCATCGGGATCCCATTGGTCCTCTTCGTTCCTGCCCTCTGCGGTTTTCAACCACACAGACCACTCGCTAATGTAACGCTCAAGCTTGCCCAATGAACCTTAGAAAATAAAATGATATTAAAATAATATAATATTTAATTGGTTAAAGCGTTTTGTATGGAGAAGTCATGTGTGTATTTCACTTTAGTTTTCAACCACACCGACCACTCGTTAATGTAACGCTCAAGCTTGCTCAATGAACCTTAGAAAATAAAATGATATTAAAATAATATAAAATTTAATTGGTTAAAGTGTTTTGTATGGAAAAGTCATGTGTGTATTTCACTTTAGTTTTCAACCACACCGACCACTCGCTAATGTAACGCTCAAGCTTGCCCAATGAACCTTAGAAAATAAAATGATATTAAAATAATATAATATTTAATTGGTTAAAGCGTTTTGTATGGAGAAGTCATGTGTGTATTTCACTTTAGTTTTCAACCACACCGACCACTATTTAATGTAACGCTCAAGCTTGCTCAATGAACCTTAGAAAATAAAATGATATTAAAATAATATAATATTTAATTGGTTAAAGCGTTTTGTATGGAGAAGTCATGTGTGTATTTCACTTTAGTTTTCAACCACACCGAACACTCGTTAATGTAACGCTCAAGCTTGCTCAATGAACCTTAGAAAATAAAATGATATTAAAATAATATAATATTTAATTGGTTAAAGCGTTTTGTATGGAAAAGTCATGTGGTTATGTTCACTTTAGTTTTCCTGTCTTAACGGCAACACATACATGTTTTTTTTCTGCACTTCTATAGCATAGTAACAGGCAGGTGCAAAATAAATAAATAATTGATGACTTCAAATGCGCCATAGTTTCGATTTCCGCCCTGAGTGTGCTAAACAAATTGGTGTAATAGTAATATAAATTAGGATTCAAAATAATTTAAGAGTATTTGTAGTATTTTATATTTTATTCATTCCATAGTTAGTGTAATATTACACGGTGAATCCATGCTTTAGCTGTATTATTACTGCATCACAAATAGTTTGCTTTAACCGGTCCTCGCCCGCACTGAATACCAAAATAAACAGTGAGGGACGAGTAATGGAGAACCTTTTAACGGTAATTGTGTTCATGGGTGTTAAGGCCTTGCATTATAATCAAGGATGGTCGTAGGTGTCTGTAAATATTATCCACCTGTCACGCGTAGGTAATACGGTAGAATGAACTACCCCGTTATACGATGAATTTATATGTAGCCAATATAATGGTAATAGAATTTTTATAATTTTCTCGTGGTTGGATGTTTACCACCTCTGAATATAGTTGGCAGCTATATATTTATATTTTTTATAATTTTACGCGTATACTACATAATGAATAAAAGTCACTTTATGTAATACCACGAATTTTGTGGTAAGTTATTTTCCTTACAAAATCTTACCTGCACTTGCTTCTAGATCATCAGGGCTAATATCCGGTAGACTATTATCACTGTCCTCATTCTGATCATGAAGGGACATTTGGTGAAATCGCAGTATACCTTAAATAAAAAGTACAACTAATTAGTACTTATTAAAACTTATGCTAATTAAATATTTTAAAAGATCATTTCAAATAAATACAATGACAATATAAAAAATAATGGTTACGAAACGTACGAAATAATTATATAATATAATAAGTACGAAATAAAAATTTAGTAAACCATATTAATGGTAAATATGGAATAGATATTGTGTAAAAAGTAGGTAACCAAATCCAATGTGAATTCAAATTTTTTTTTGTAGCCGATAGTTACTCAAAATTCAATAGATGTTTAACAGAAAAACGTTAATGGCAGATTTTGTACCGCATACTTTTTTTGTTGTTTCGTTATAGAATATGTATCAGATATTAAACAAATAAGCCACTTATTTTCGTATTAATGTGTTATTTTTAGAACATTAGATTAATTAACTATATACAACAATACAATAAAAATATTTTAAAAAATAAACGTAATATAATCGTAAACTATACGCAATTATGTTTTTCGAAGTTGCCATCTGTAAAATAACACAAATATCGAACTGATAATTAATTATATAGAAATAAAAATAACACTACTTATATATAATTAAACACTTACATATTATATCCAAGAATGCATAATTGTCACATAAAGTCGTAATGTTTCACAATTTAATGATAGAAATGATTTTCGTCATTATTTTTTTTTTGTTCATATGGCAATTATTAATTGAAAAAAAAAACTCAACCGCTGCTGGATATAGGTATCTCCTAATGTAACCCGCTGAGTAGGTACCGATCCTCATCTCAATCTACGTACTTAATGGTAAGTAAAACACTACAATGTTAGCAACAAGCAATATAGAATATTTAATTTATCACCAAAACAGTATTCATTTGCCTATATGTAACAATCTTCATTGGAACACTATTACATAACCATACAAAATAAAACTGGTTATAACTTTTATGTCTCAAGTTTTAAAAATCTAAGAATTTAAAAGGGGTTTGTCTTTCCTACCAACTACCAATTAAAACAAAAAAATCCGTAAACACGAAATGTTATATGCGGTACGAAATTCACATACAAGCCTGCCGTCCACTTTTATATTTTATGTTTGATTTTTAATTTCGTCTAGTTTTACAGTCAATCTGTTTTATATATACCACTTAAAGTCTTCATCCTCTAAAACAAAAAGTAAAGTATTCCTATAAAAACTTCCAAGAAAACATGTATATGTTTATTCATGTCATTATATTACTTAAACAATTTGCACAAATACTATAAACTCTACTTCAAAAATAAAAAAATTCAAAATACACTTACCCTTATGCGGCTGCAGCAGCCAAGCGTATAATTTCCCAGCGGCCAAGCTGTAGTACAGTACGGGTGCTTTCTGTTTGTTCACAACTTCTAGAATTTGCTCCACGTTAGAAGGACTCCACAATTCCAATCTTTCTTTATTACCATCTTCAGTCAGATTTCTGTTTCGTAATTTATAGCATTGCTTAATTGACTTTGCTTTGTGGGTATTTCAAACATTGATTAAAATGATTTTACAATTTATCCGAAAAATAAATAAAACTTATTAAATACCTTTGTGCTGTGTGAAGTTCCAGATTAGCCTGGTTTAAAGTACCAGGCTGCTTGTCCATCATTATGACCAGGGAGCGGCATCGACCACGCTCCGCTATCACCAAGGCTTCGGGATGACGACCCAATTCTTTAAAAAAACGTATTTGGGATTATTCAAGACAGGAGGAATTTATAAATTAAACAAAATTAAGGGACTAAATTTGGACATATGGACATTTATTTAACTACGACATTAAATAATATTAATATCTTACACTACAAAATAAAAAATTATAACAAAAAATAATTTTGGGAGTTTTTAATTTGATCCGGTTTTGTAAAGAAAAAACTGAAGTGCAAATAATTACAATATGGATTTAAAGACGTAGCAATTATGCGTGGACAAAACAGTGTTTAATTTAAAGAACCTAAACTTTAACTGTGAGGAGGATTATATTAAGCGATAATATGCTAAAAAAACAAATAAATAAAAACAAAAAAAATTCATGCTAAAAACCTATATTACATACTAGTCCTAAGAGGTGACAACGAATTCGTCATATGTCTGTCTCAATCCCTTACGATCAAATTGGCTATCAGACCCTTGGTATATTTTGTTATAAAAATCGTAATATGCATATTATGTTATAAAAATCGTAATACGGACCAACAAGTACTCGCTGCAGAGCGTGTTGCGTGGAAGTGTAGAGCGCTGCCACCTTTCTATCGCGCTGTTTATCTTGTCCAGACTCCAGCACGGTGAGAGCAGCTTGTAGCTGTTCCTTAGCTTCCTCTAGCTCTCCAGAAGCCCAAAGCGCGAAACCGAGGCGATGACGGACTTTCGCCTATTGAAATTAATTACGAGATTTATTTATATCGTATTAGTATCCAGATATATAACTACCATTTATCACAAAGTTTCACCTCTTCATCAGCATCAGACAGTCCTTCTGTAGCTGCTAATGCCTGTCTTAGATAAGACACTGCACTACCACAGGCACCCATTGCCAAATGGGACCTTCCTAAGTCGGCTAAAGCGTTGGCGCGACCTCTGGTGTCTCCTGTTATTTATACAAATATGTTGGATTATTTTATTCTGTTTTAAACTCAGTATTTGTTGTATTGCTTTATTATATTATTGCACAACTGCGACGAAATCTCCCTACATGACACCAAAGAGTATAATATAATCACTACGTGTTAAATGACACTTTTATCGCCTAGTGGTATTTGTTTAATATATTTAAGTAAGTGTTTCGAGTGTGGTGAAACCGACGACATTAAACGTTGCTTGATCTCTGTAGTTCTATCGTTTAACTCCAAAGGAAACTAACCGGATGCGGTTGCGTGTCTTAATCTAGACTCGTGCCAGCGCGCTGCCTCGGCGTGCGCGCCCATCGACGCATGCGCCGTGCCCAGACCGCCACAAGCGCGTGCCTGCAATTCCAACAGCTCTAAATTAATTATATAAAAAAATTAATATAACAAGATTAACAACCAAGCACACAATCTAGATGATGGTAAGTGGATGCTGTGACCCATAGACATCTACATACTATATCTTCGATTAAGATCAAAATACAGATGCGTTATCACCCATGAGGACCAAGAGGGAACATTTCATTTCCAGTAAAAAGCGTTTTCGGTAATTTACACTCACCATACGAAATACACCAGCAATAAGCTGCTAAAGGATTTTTCCATTCGCGTGGGTAGATTTTGGCGGCCCGTGGTGGCCATTTCACTTAGACATCTATCAAATCTTTTGTTTATTATTCAGTTACTTATGCCAAATCATCATGGCAAGTTGCACAATTGAACAGCACATTCAAATGATAAAACTTTATTATCAAAATTAGTCTTCGTCAGTGCCAAGGTTGCGCGAATTGCGTCTATTTTACGGTAGACGTGGTGACCCTTCACAGTCGACTCTCTTGGTGGCCAAATTTAAAACAACCGGTTCAGTAAACAATCAGCAAACACCCATACGTCCAAGGAACGCAAGATCGGCCGAGAACATCATCGCGGTTCGTGAAAGTGTACAGCAAAACCCGAGGCAGTCGATTCCCTCGCCTTGCACAAGAAATCGGCCTTTCGCAGACTTCAGCTTGGCGAATTTTGCGTCGGAACTTAGGTGTAGGCCTACAAAATCCAACTGACCCAGTAGCTTAGGAGAACACCAATTTTGACCGAAAAATCATCTTTAGCGACGAGGCGCATTTTAGAATGAATAGCTATGTTAACAAGTGGAATTGCCGTAAATGAGATGAGACCAACCCACGTGAAGTTCACCAGGTGATAATGATTCCTCAAAAAGTTACCGTTTGGTGTGGATTTTGGGCCGGCGGCTTCAATGGCCCGTACTTTTTCGAAAATGACGCTGGTGAGGCGGTCACCGTCAACGGCGAGTGCTACAGAACGATGAAAACCAATTTATTACGGCCTAAATTGAACCATATGGACCTAGACAACATGTGGTTCCGGTAGGACAGTGCTACGTGCTACACAGCGGACGCCACGATTGAAATTATCCATGAGCGATTGGAGGGTAAGCTTATCTCTCGCAGGGGTGATGTGAATTGGCCACCAAGGTCATGCGATTTGACCCCGCTAGACTTTTTCTTGTGGGTTTTCTTGAAGTCGCAGGTCCTTGCAAACAAACCACAATCGACTGATGCCCTAAAGGTGAACATAACACAGGTCATCGCTCAAATTCAGCCGGATCTATCCAGAAGAGTCATTGAAAATTGGACCACTCGTATCCGTGCCACTGTAAGAAGCCAAGGCGGGCATTTGAACGAAATCACATTTCACACAGAATGGCTTATATGGGCTTTTCAAATAAAAAAATAATTCTCTTAATGCCTCACACAAAGCTTGTTTTGTTCAATTTCAACATGTACCCGCCATTATTGAAAAACCCTTTATTTTACGCCGGTGATCTGTGAGAGTGTGGTCCTTCTCCGGTTGAGCCGACCCATTTGTGCTACTACCATAATATAGCTGTAACAGTTAAAGAAATAGAAAGGTACATAATAAATAAACGAATTTCAAATTAATTATTTGAGGCAAACTATTATAGGGGAGGCCTAGAATCAGCAGTAGACTTTTGATAGGTTGGTGACCAACCTATCAATCCAACCAACAATATATCACACTAGGCTTAGGGTATCATTTATTTTAAATCTTCCACTGATATTAGTATAAATAGCGGCGCGAGTCGTGAACACCAAGGGACGGTATTTGCGCATGTAAATTTTTCAGACAATGTACAATAAATGACGAAGATTTACTAAGAAACAATCACGTGAAAAAGTGTTTTTTTAAATTTAATTTCTTTTAAACTTTATTGCGTCCACTTAGAAAAAAAAGGATACAAAGAGTGGACTTAATGCCTAAAGGCATTCGCTACCAGTCGACCCATGGAGTGGTGAGTTTGTCGTAGGTGTAGCAATGAAAATAAAAGAAGAAAAAAAGATAACCAAAATTAATACACATTATATGTAACAAAACTGATTATGATTTTAAGTAAATTCATTTATATGCCAATAAAAATATATGAAAACAAAGTTAATACATACATATAAATACGACTATTTAACTGTATTGTAATTCTAATGATTCTTCAGTAAATGCTCGCCATATACCATACCATCTTTTTAAAGGAGTATTTGTTCGGCGCTTTTCTGATATCATCAGGCAAAGAATTCCAGAGACGTTCATCCATTCACATCGAGATAGGGATTCCAGAATGTTCATCGTAACCAGTTCGCGGCCTATATTCTCAGACTTCACCAAAGAGACCTATAAATCGACTATTACGCATGTCAAGTCTGTGCTCACGACTCGTGGTACTACGTGTACCAAAGGTGATGAGAACGAGTAGCGCCCGTGTTACTAGGGTGTGTACCTGCAGGTGCGTGAGGCCAAGGCGATGCGCGAGCTCGAGTTCGGCGCGGTGGTGGCGCACGGCGGCCGCGTGCTCGCCCAACGCCTGCTGCGCGACGCCCAGCGAGTGCCACGCCTCCGCCTCCATTATTTGGTTATTCAGCTCCCTACAACAAAGACTTAGATATGTACTTTGAAACAAACCACTAACCTTCCAGGAATTAACTCATGGAGAAAATGAGAAAATATATAATAAAAAGTAAAAACCGAATTCGAAAATTAAAAAGTACTAAAGCAAGGTTTAGACAAAAACAGTGCTGGCTGCCAGTTTTACTGGCACCGAGTGCTGGCTTGTTACTGGCCTCGAATTAACAGTTTTTCAAGACAAGCCAGCGCTGGCTGCCAGCACTGGCGGGAATAGAGCACCTGCCTATTTTTCAAGCCTGTGACCTCCGCCCGCATGCTCCGCAACCCCCACTCCGGAATAAATAATTTGTAATATAAAGAATTTACTATAATATATAATAACTGATATTGTACAAATTTATATATTTGATGTATGTACTATATGATACACATTATTTTCAGTTGAAGTTTAAAAAATAATTAATTTAATACAACGTTTTACAAGAATAATCTAGGAATAAAATGAATTCGTTTGGCCTCGTCTAAACAACACGGGCCAGGCCAGCGCTGGCTTGTCTGAGAACTGGCGCCAGCGTTACCGGCTTCGTGTAAAGCTTGCTTAAGGCCTTGTATAGAAGAATAAAAGCCGCAACTTTAGTAGCTATGATGTGGATATTGTTTTTATTTTAGTTTTTGTAATCGGCAATCAAACTGTTTTTTATGAAATAGTTAAATTTTTACTACTTTAATTGGGCAAAGATAAAGAAAAAGTTTATTTAATTTCGAAAAAGTTATTTAATAAGTTTTAAGCATTAATGTTCTTTAATAAAAAATATTTAAAAAGGAAACATGCTAGTTGATGGGCAGGAGCAAATTAAAACCAGAAACAAAAAACTGCGGTGGCAACCCGTTTGTTAATCGTAGCAAGTATGGCAAATATTCCCCTTATAAGAAAATCTTTCGAGAGGTCTACTTTCAGCAGAGGAATTTTATTGAGCTGTAAGGAATGAAAAAAATTCCTTTACTTAATTATTTCTTATATTTACGCGAACACTACACATTGATTAAAACTACTTTTACGGATTTTATCGCGTTTAATTTTAATTTTAATTATTTTAATTTTTAATTCCCGACGTTTAGTCCCCCGTGACCATGGGTGCTGGAAAGCACCCGTCGCACGTCGGGAATTAAAAATTAAAATAATTAAAATTAAAATTAAACGCGATAAAATCCATAAAAGTAGTTTTAAATCCCTTTGCTACTCACTTAGCAATATTTTTCTGATGCTCCAGACAAGATACAGCTTGCTCTAAATTGTTGAGTGCGATGTGGAGTGCACCAAGTTCTCCGTACGCCTGTGCTTTCGCTTCAGGTATGCCCAGCTCATGGGATACCACTAGGCGCTTTTCGAGACATACTAAAGCTTGTTGAAGATTTCCGACTGATCTGCAAGATAACAATATGTTTAGTAGGATTAATTTTGTTAAACAACAGTATGTTTAGTAGGATTCATTTTGTGTCGATATTTTAAAAGAGGATTTATAAGTATAAAAATTTAAATATTTTTTATAATTTTGGTCGATTTCTACATACTTGTGACTAAGTCCTAGTCCACGATAAGCTCTCTCCTGTTCTCTGGCGTTGTCTAGCTTGAGCGCAGCTGCTAAGTGTTGTTCGTGGTACTTGATGGCCTCGTCGGGGTCGCCGAGGGCATCGTAGCAATCGCCAAGAGAACCCAGAGCACGCGCTTTGTCTAATTGACATGTTGGTGTGTTCACTCGCTCGAGTATTGCCAGTTGCTGTGAAAGCACAATACATTTAAGTCGAAGATAATTTAAAAACCTATTGTGGATATTGATACCAAAACCGGGGGTTGGAAGTATGGAGGAATGATCATTTTATTATTCTCTTATGAAAGTTAAAAGAAAATCATACCTGAAAACACATATTTATTTGTAATTTGACCAATTATTCAGTCAAATAACATAATTATTTGATTTATAATTACTATAGCTGTACTTCTAAAAACTTTTATATGGAATTTTTTTAAGGGTTTAATATTTATTTTTTTTATTTTTTTCATTTATGAATTCATTAATATAATATTTAACATTATAATAAATAACTTAACTAAAATAATAATTAAAATTATAATATTTACAATTAAAACTAATTACATATACAATATAAAAGAAGAAACTATAATATAGAAAAACTAAAACTAAAAATTTAAATCGTCAAAAAGACCTGCTCCCCGTGGTATAGTGCCAAGAACGCTGGCTGCGTTTCCTCGCTGAATAGCTATACTTAGCCTTTGAGCGAGGAAAGAACCAGCCCTCTTATCACCAGCAGCGACGACCAGTCGTGGATACAGTTCCTTTAGAAACTTCATTGCACGTGGACCCCACGGACCGATAGTCTCTACAGCAAATGGCACAAATATGTAGTCATTTCTCAAAGACTCATATTTGCGCCATTTACTAAATTCGGCTGCCTCTGATGCCGCCCCGGCTCTACAACAGGTACCCTTGAGATGAGAAGCCGCCAAAGTGTCAACGCAAGTAGCATCCCACACTAGGGCTTTACCTCTCTCCCAAGGGACCCAAGTCATACCGTCGGGTCTCTTGCCATCGTCTCTAAATATCCCGCAAGGCTCTAAAACCGAGGGGATATTTATAGAGACAAGAGCCCTTCGGATGATTTCGTTCAAAGAACCGTGACGGGAAAACCTACCTGCACTTTTTTGGCATGAAAGTCCGTGGAGCCCAAACTCATCGACGCTGCTACCACAGGGGCACTGGTGAGGTTGACAAATAGCCACTCCTAGTCGGATTCCTACGGCGATGCGCAAGCTTTTCCCCATCAAGCAATGTGCCGAGATTACTTGATGGTAGAGCATGTAACCAGTGGCTAGATTCCTTAGTCGAAACAGCTAGAAGGCGAGCCTGATCTTGTTGAATATGGAAATTTTTAAATAAATTTTTGTGGACACTCCGTACCAACGGAATATCCCACTGTTTTTGTTGGTTAACTTCCAGTGGGACATTTTCGCCGGGACAGAGCGTTAGCCATATTTGCTTTGCCTCCGCAGTAAAGCATAGGTCTACTTTATTATTTAAAATTGTGTTACATAGGTCATTAACACTATGCACGGAAGCAAGGAAAGCAGGCAATGCGACGCTAGAAATATTTCTTATACCAATTCCACCAAATTTGATAGGTAAAGTGGCTTGATTCCAGGCTATTGTATTTAATCTCAAATTTAGAATGTTTTCTAAAGCAATTTTAAGACTATTATCAATATCTTTTAAAATATCCGAACATTTCCAGACTGGACTTGAGCGTAACAAATATGTAAATTTAGGTACAAGGACACAATATTTTAAAATAGTAAGGGCAATATGGGGGTTTAAAATATATAATTTATCAACGTGATTTAAAAATTGATCAAATTTTGTTTTTAAAACAGGTTTAATACTATCGAAAAACAACGGAGCACCAAGCAGGTAAAGCGATTCCGAATTGACAGTTTTTATTCCTGGAGAAATCTGATTGAAATTTTGAATTAAGGTATCTCTTTTAGAATTAGATAAATTATTAGAAATAAATATTTCACATTTATTTGTATTTGGTTCAAGACCAATATTTTTAAAATTTTGAAAAATATGAGTAAGATCATTGAGGACGTCATCTGCTTTACCTCCCAGTGTACCGTCGTCCAGATACCAGACATTCAGCTTGGATTTTAAATTTGAAATAATAGGTTGAATTCCCAAACTGAAAAGAGCTGGACCTAATGGATCACCCTGCTGAACACCGACAGCAGACTCAATAATATGGTTTTGATAAAACAAGTTTGAATTTTGACTGTAACATTGCCAAACGTAATGATATATTTCGGGAGTATTGTTAGCCACTTCTTTCAGCAGGGTTATCCTATCAATAGAGTTGAAAGCATTTCTAAGATCAACCTTCAGAAGAACATCTGCATCGGAATTAATTAAGAAAGTACGCACCGAATGTACCGCCGCCTCACAGCCACCTTTGGTGCCAAAGCCTAGTTGAGTAGGTTGAAAATTTGTCTTAAGGTTTGAGATTATGTGCCTGCAAGCTAATTTTGAAGTTAAGCGTCGAAATGTAGAACCAACAGCAATAGGACGGATACCGTTATCCTTTTTTTTGAAGGCACACAATCTTGCCCCATATAAGTAGGGAATGAAATTGTGATTGACATTACCAGAAAGCATAAAATTACATAATTTTGTTATGTCATTAAGAAGTACCCTACCGGCGTCACCGGCAGATACGCTTACAAGGTCTTTGAGATGCTGAGGCGTAATCCCGTCAATGCCGCCGGCAGAGCCATTCGAAAATGACAATATTGCGTCTATAGTGTCTTTTTCGGAAACTTGTAATGGTTGCATAGAAGTATTAGGAGGCAGCGGTAAATTCTGGGAAGGATTGACCGAAGGATGTTTCTGACGAAGGCCTTCAAGAGTTTCGACATTACGAGGAGCGAGGATGTCATCTGAGAATAAAATACGGGATGCATTTTTTAAGTCGCCGTCCATTACTTTTGATTCAACTACTTTTTTTAAATCAAATTTAGGATAAGGTCGAGGGAAATGAGTATTAATCGGGTAATTCAAATTTTGATTTATTTATTGTTTTACTAAAATGAAAGTGGGAATACGCGAATGTAAATAATTTTTGCCAACTTTTTTCACAATTCGTTAGACAATTTTGAATGGTTAATGATAACGCTTTAGCAAGTTGCATCCTCGCGCCTCTTGGAATTCTTTTAACCACTGGTACGTTACTATACAAATTGTATAATTGTTTCGAAAAAAGTGAAGAATTTGTGTCATTAGGTATATTATCAGAAGAGTCATGAATTTCTACGGTAGGCTGTGAAGCCGAAATATTTTTACTATGGCATCGTTTAATGTGTATATTTAATCCCTTTTTACCTTTAAACAGCCTACCGTCGGTACAATTTTGACATCGTAGGAAATCCGGCTGTGAATGTATTGGAGCGATAATATTCATAGAAAATGTAAAAAAAATAAAAATGTAAAAATATATCTACAGCACTCAAAAGTTTATAATTTAGTAAAAATCAAAATCTTGAAAATTAAAAGAAAAACCTAGTTCTCGAGCTTTGTTTATCGCCTTAAAGCAATCTAATATTAATATTGTGTACGATGAATCACCAGGCGTTGCATCTTGAAGTGACCTACAACTATAACCGCTTACAGTTGATGGTTTCAAAGCTTCTTTTGGTGACAATCTCAATAAAACGCTCAAACATCTCAATAAAAACGCGGCATTCGTGGTTTTCTTGGGATCAGTATAAGTGTAGTGAGCATTGATTTCGTTACTTTCACGTTGTTCTATTTTCTCTTTTAATATTTCTTTAAAGGTCTCCCTGGCATTAATGTTGCAAAATAAAATATATTCGTGGTGTATTCGGCCATCGTCATTTCGTATCATCACTTCAGGCAAACGAACTTGTAAATATATTATCACATATTCATTAATATTGAAATATATTATTTACATAAAACGTTATTTTTAGGAATTTCAGGAATAAAATATAAATATATTCTAATTAAAATATTTGGTTAAAATATACGACAGTTGTCGTATATTTTAACCCAATATATGGAATTAATATATTATTATAAATGTGTGTTTTGATTTAATATATGTTTTTCAGATGGCATACTTATTAAACTAACCTGCTCTAAATATCCTATTGCATCTTCATAATGTCCCATATTTAGTTTCGCAATGCCCAGGTTTCCATAAGCCTGCGCCTCCAGAGCACAGTCTTGAAGTTCTTGAGCTCTCTCCAGTTGCTCCTATTCCAAAAATAAATAAAATATTATAGAATTACATTTAAACAATGAGCGTATCAAGTATATTTGTGGGAACAGGCTTTCATAATTCGGCTGTAGTGTAGATACAGGATATGAAAGCGGTGTCTTTTTTGAGTTTCGTAATATTTCGTTAACAATAAATAATAAGATCATAAAAAATTTTTACTTATAAAATTCGTGCTATGAAAACATATTGATGAGTTGGAAATAAGCTTAAGTTTGTATTTGTTGTTGTTCTTCTTCTTCTTCTTTAGAATAAAGTAGGTTAAGCCTTAATCGTCACGTCTTGATTGGAGAAAGCAGTACAAGATGTCTCGTATCTTTGACATTGCTCCCAGTTTCGGGTCGGATTATTTTACGTCTGGCGAAAAAGAGATGGTTATACAATTATGCCGATCTATTCTCTATTTCCTATGGTCACCGCTTTCGATAACACGGACGAAATTAGGTTATTGATTTTCTTACGTCGTCAACAGACAGTGTTATTTTCTGCGCCTTTATTTTATCATCTTCCTGTGATCTTTAGATTAATAAAATTAAAAATTAATTGAATTATTAAGAATTTTTTTAAGCTATTGCATAGCTTCTATCGCGGGCCTTGAGCTCGGGAACCGAATCCAGAAATTCCGTAACGAAAAAACCTCACACTCCCCACTCCGACGGGCACGGAAGTGTGGCGTTGAAAGCCGTGCATCGTCTAACGTCGTTTTAGTTCGGCAGAGTTCGGCACGGTGTTTGTGTGCGTGCGACTAGACGTATGCGTGTACACTAGCTGCTAACTGAATGATAAAAATTCCTGAATAACCTACATGTATTGTAAGATATTAAAAATATTTTAAACAATATTAACTCAATAATCATTTATTCAATAATCATTTATTCAATAAGAGAAAAAAAAATTGTTTTATTATCGGTCACCACTCTCAAAAAGTGTAACTTGATTTAATATCAAAGACTTAACTGCATAAATAAAATAAATAAATAATTATAATTGCATAAGTTGATAAAAAATGCTATGCAATAGCTTTACCGCGGCAGTCACCGAGTGCCACACGTATTTTTATTCATATATCTTTACTTATAACTAACTCAATTCTAATATTCTTCCTGATAACTAACTCAAAATTATAAAATTGTAGTTGCTAACCTACTTTCCAAGTGTGGTAATTATTACATAATACCACTATGCGGCATTCTATGGGGTAGGCCTATGTTCAGCAGTGGACTTTCATAAGCTGTAATAGTGTATTAATGGTTACTTAGAGTCTGTCATGTGATCTGTGAATTAAACTTGCACTGTGTATTTACATTTTTTTTATAGAATGAGGGTTGGTTTCAGGCCCAACTTCCACATTAATTAAGAGCCAAAATGCAGGTGCGTTGTCACCCTTGAGGGCTGAGATGTAATGCCTCGTTTCCAGTAAAACGGGTCTCTGATTCTCTACACTCACCATGCGAAACACAGCAGCATTAAGCTGCTATTTTACACTGTGAGAGAGTGATCCTGCCTCAGTCGAGCCCATCTATTCGTGCTACAACTATAATATAGCTGAAGTGTGGCTCCACTACGTGGAAAACGTACTCTATAACATCTCGCAGCATGTGAGTAGTGACCAAGCGCCATATGGACAGCTCCGAGATGCGAGTGAGCTCTTGCCTCACCGGCCGCGTCGCCTGCTTCTTGACGCAATGTTAGTTCCTGTTTAAAATAATATCAAAGTAAGCAATTTTAATCAGACATAACTTTAACTTGTTAAACATGGTATGTTAAAAATTTTTGTAGTCAAAAAAAAAAAACAAATTTATACGGAATGGGTTGTTCTAATTAAAAAAATGATAAAAGGCACATTTTTAATTACACTCAAATTGGAAGTCTTGTGAAATTTATTGCAATTACAACCTAAATTCATTGGGGAGACTTTTAATAAGTATTGAATTATAGCGAACTTCAATATCGATCGTATGATAACAAACATATTTAAATCAAAATTTTAAAACATTCTTAAAAACTTTACCTTTACATTAGGATATTCCTACGCATCATAGAAACATTTTACATACATAAATTATACAAGGACAAACACTTAGGTTCGCACCAATTATTTTGTAGGCCATTAAACCCACGACCCAAAGCACTGTGGCCAAACACGTTGTCAGAGCCTTCAAATAAGTAGTATTAAAATGAAAATTCAATAACATAATATTTTGTTCAATTACATTTTTGGTAATTTAATTTTTTGCTTTTGTTATAAATTAATTAAATTTGTAACTATAATACTGTAGTGAAAATTTACAGTCCTACTCTAAGTCGGTATATACTTGTGTATGATGTCCTAAGGCCGCGTCAAGTCTTCTCTGTAGACGCCGCGCGAGTCCTAACGCCCCACATGCAGCTGCTTCCAACGAGCGATCACGAGCCTAAATACATAAACCATATTAAAAAATATTTCTTCTAAACTTAAACTTCACAATGTCTAAATTTGAGTCTAGTCTTAGTTGCACAAATTTTGACATGGTGATGTTTTAGAGTTTAAATTCAAGATTGTCTCCGAATACAGGCCTTAGACAGTTAAACAAAATGTTATGAGATATTCACTAAGAGTTTCAATTGAATTCCAGAGCTTATTTTAAAAAATACGAAAAAAATAAAAAATACATTTTATTATATAACAAAAGTTCTTAAGTCCCAAGGTTTTATTGCAGAAGTAAGTAAAATAAGCAAAAGCACTTATCATAAAAGTAATCAAAATAAGTAAATTGAAAGTAATGAGATTTATTTAAAAAACAGACTATTCGATGAAAAAAGAACTAGACTATGAATAGAAATACTTACCTCTCTAGCAAACCTAAGCTGTCGTTGGTACATCTTCACGGCTTCTTCCACGTCACCCATCTTGATCAACACATCGCCAATGTTACCCAAAGCTCTAAATTTTCCTTGAAGATGCTGAGTCATGTGGGCTATAGCCAGGAAATATTTCTGACATTCTAGTGCTGTCTCCAAGTTGCCGAGGGCTAAGTGAGCCAGGCCGAGGTTGCAGTATGCTCTGCCCATGTTCATTTTGTCTTGGAGGTCTTTAGCAAGTGAAAGGTCTTGGTCGTAGTATCTGAAATTGAATTTAATATTAATTATGCCCCATATGCAATCTTTAGTTGCAAATCGAGCTCACCACCGTGGTTTGTGGCATTCCTTGGGGGAGTCCTATATTAACTGATGATGAGCTGTAATGATGATGATGACGATGATGATGATGATGAAGATCCTTATAAATTAAAATTCGATAAATCTGGATGTAGGGACAACAACGAAAATGTAACGGTTAAATCGACGCAGTACTTTTTCTCTGCCATAGGTTGTGGCAGAGAAAAAGTACTGCGCATTGGAAAGTAACTTTTGTATAAAGTCGATTAATTACGTATTATTAAGGATATCATTCATAATCATTACAGCCCTTCACAAGTCCACTGCTGAACATAGGCCTCCCCCAAGTAATGCCACAAAGCACGGTCCTGAACCACCTGCATCCATCGACTTCCTGCATGTCTTACCAGGTCGTCACTCCATCTAGTGGGGAGGTCGCCCTACACTACGCCTACCGGTACGAGGCTGCCACTCGAGAACCTTTCTTCCCCGTCGGTTATCGGTTCTTCGAGCTATATGGCCGGCCCATTGCCACTTCAGCTGACTAATCCGTTGGGCTATGTCGGTCACTCTGGTTTTACTGCGGATATCCTCATTTCTGAGTCTATCACACAGAGAAACTCCGAGCATAGCCCTCTCCATAGCTCGCTGAGCGACCTTGAGCATCCTCATACGGCCAGCAGTGAAGGACCACGTCTCAGATCCGTAAGTCATCACTGGCAACACACACTGGTTATACACTTTAGTTTTCAGAGATTGAGGTATACCTGACGAGAAGATGTGTCGTAATTTCCCGAACGCTGCCCAGCCGAGTTGAATCCGTCGATTGACCTCTCGGTCGAAGTTGGACTTACCTAGTCGGACTATTTGTCCCAGGTAAACGTACTCGTCAACAACTTCGAGCATAGTGTTCCCAACAACTACCGGCATAGGTGTGACATGGACATTAAACATGATCTTTGTTTTGTCCATGTTCATCTTAAGACCTTATCCGTTGGGAGACACCATTGAGGTCATTGAGCATAGTGCTAAGGTCCTCTAGCGATTCTGCCATAAGGACAATATCGTCGGCAAATCGAAGGTGAGTGATGTACTCGCCATTGATGTTAATACCGTATCCTTTCCAGTCCAGTAGCTAGAAAACGTCTTTCCAACGCAGCGGTGAAGAGTTTCGGGGATATAACATCACCCTGTCTTACACCTCTCTGCAGTTGGATAGATTTCGAACTCTGGTTCTGTACTCGGATAGCCATCGTAACCCTTCTGTACAAACACTTCAGCACTTCGATATACCGACAGTCAACTTGGCACCGCTGAAGGGACTGTAGCACCGCCCAAATTTCGACGGAATCAAAGGCTTTCTCATAGTCCACATATGCCAGGCAAAGCGGCAGATTGTACTCTTCGGTCTTCTGTACAATCTGCCGCAGGGTATGTATGTGGTCTATGGTACTGAAGCCTTTTCGGAAACCGACTTGTTCGGGAGGCTGGAAGTCGTCGAGTCTGCGTGCGTGACGATTCGTAACGACTCTCGAAAACAGCACGTGGCCGCGGCTCAGAAGGGAAATCGGTTTGTAGTTCTTCAAGAGAGCGATGTCGCCTTTCTTAAAGAACAGACCACCGCGCTTCTGCTCCACGCCTGCGGAGTAGTTCCACCATGGAGGACGGAATTGAAGAGCTTCTGAAGGACTTCAAGTACCGGTGTTCCACCCGCTTTCAGAAGCTCCGCTGTAATTCCATCCTCGTCCGGGGCCTTGCCGTTTTTAAGGTGGTGGAGAGCCATTCTAATCTCGCTCAGACTGACGTCCGGAATATCATTGGAATAGTGTCGGATAAGACTTGCTCTTGGATCGTTACTCACACTTGCATGTGGCTCCAACGATGATGTGTACAGCTGCCCATAGAACCTCTCAATCTCACTCAGAATCTCAGGTGTCCCGGAAACGATGTTGCCACACTCAGTCTTCAGCTTGACAGTTGGCTCTTTCTGGCAGACAGATCTCTGGCAAAGACTTTGGAGCCCTGGTTCCGCTCGATCGCTTCTTTAATACGAGAAGTATTACAGTTGCGTAAGTCTCGCCGCATGCATTTGGAGATGTGTCTGTTCAGTTGCCCGTATGCTGTCAAATCTGTTGACGATTGCAGCCTCATCTCCCGTCTAAAAGCTTGAGATTAAGAGTGTGATCGGAGAGTTTTTGTGTTCTTCTGCGGCGAGTCTTGCAGAACTTAGTTCCGACCGCATGGACAGTTTCCACAAGCTTGTCATTCATATCGTCCATTGCATTGCAATCTTCTAGGCACTGAAAGCGGTTACGTAACTCGAGCTGAAAGGTTTCGGGATTCTGGATTAGAGCACGAGGGGAACGGAGCGTTAACTTCATTAGACGATACCTCTTCAACTTAACGTTTAGGTTCAGTGTGCCTCTAACCATTCGGTGATCGCTGCCAATTTTCACCCTTGCGATCACTGAGACATCACTGAACAGTTGGCGTCTGGTCGTCATAATGAAGTCAATCTCATTTTTTGTCGAACCGTCGGGGCTCGACCAGGTCCACTTCCTGTGAGGCCGCTTCTGAAAGAAAGAGTTCATCATAAAGAGACCCTCTTTCTCCATAAAGTCGGCCAGCTGCTGGCCCCTTCGGTTCCGTTGCCCTACTCTAAATTTCCCTACCTTCAGCTCACCGCTTTCTCTTGTGCCTAGTTTTGCGTTGAAGTCTCCCATCAACACCGTGTAGTGGGTTTTGGAGGAATGCATGGCTCTGAAAATATCCTCATACATTTCCTCCACCTCCTCATCGGGATGTGCCGAGGTTGGTGCGTAAACCTGTATTACCTTCAGCGAATACCGTTTGGTGATTCTGAGTATCAGGTACGCGACCCTCGTCGACACACTCCCAATCTTTACAACGTTGTTGACGAGAGACTTGTGGACGATAAATCCGACACCTCCTTGGGACAGATGGTCGCCCTCCCGGTGATAGAACAAGTTGCCGGACTCGAGGATTGCCGTGTCCTCCCCCTCTCTTCGGACCTCGGATAATCCAATAATATGACAGCGCAACTTGTCTATCTCTTCTTCCAGCTCCAGTATCTTCTCGTCAGTCCTCAAGGTGCGTACGTTATATGTTGCCAGTTCGAGTCGTCGTAGGTGGCAAGCGAACCTCCACCGGAGATTCTTAGCACCCCATGCCCCGCCGTTACCACGGTCGCCACCGTAGCCAGAAATAGCGGGGCCGCCGGGGACTGGGGGCCGTTTGTTTGCGTCGTTATTCATGGGGGGATATTTTCCATAGTTGCCACGCTTGACGAGCGGATTGGTAACCGCAGTTTTTTATTATATCACAGTTATTATCAGGAAGATGCTGCTGCCCATCTCCTGCCTGTCTCCCTCAGTCACCTCTTACGACACCCACAGGAAGATATGGGGTAGTGGATATTCTCAACCGCCACTATACGGCATATTAAGGATTAAGGATATTAAGGATAACTCAAAAACTACTAGTCAGATCTTAATCAAATTTATATGGGAACTCATGATAAGCATCAGCTTTCAAATAAAAAAGTATCATCAAAATGGGTTTATCTGGAAAAAGTCCTGAGGTAACACACATAAAAAGTACAGTCGAAGAGAGTACCTCTTCCTTTTTTGAAGTCGGTTAAAATAAATTTATTTGAGGATCACTGTACAGAACCATAATAATTATGCAAAATCTGACATCTGTACATTTTTACTTACAAGCGACATACTTATTTTTGCGTTGAACTTACTTTAAGCGTCACAAACTTTCTGTGCATTATATCATGGAAAAGAACTACACTCCTAACCTATCTTTTTAGCTGTATTTTACGCGTATTATAAAATTTATGCTACAATTGTTTTTCTCTTGCACACAACAAAGTTACTATAAATATACATTGAACACATGAATTGAACTTTATGAAACACGTTAGAGGTTTATAAATTTCAATTCTAATGTTTTAAAAATGAATGGTTACATGTAAAAAAACCTGTCAATCATAAGACTGCACGCGAGTCTTATGAAAACTTCTTAGCTACACAAACTTGTAAATATTATTTTTAGAAATTATTATTATATTCATATACTAAAAAAAATATTTAATGCGCTGTTTTTCGTGAAAAAAGTTATTATCTATATAATACAAACAAATTTATAAATATATATTAATTTTATAAAATTTTATTATATTTCCTTATATTTATTTTATATGTATTTTGTTCATTGCTCTTTTACATAGCATTTAGTATACACACGTATAATTGTATATATGTATCTGATGGTGACGGTTATGCAAGTTCAATGCTTTTTCCCCATCCAAAAGTGCCACATCGCCAATGTTAAGTTTAGTGTTAAAGTTAAGTGAAGTTTTCAGTGAAATTCAAAAGTTTTCATTTCAAAAATAATTGTTATGATTTTATATGATACCTTACAGCCTCTCTGTAATTTCCTAGACAATAGTGCGCGTAGCCCAGAAAATGACATGCTTTCGCCTCAGCAGTGACGTCACCCAGTTCTTGTGAAAGCATGAGATGCTGCTCATAGTACGGCACCGCCTGCGCGAATTCTCCTCGAGAGGATAAGCAGTTACCGAGATTTAAAAGAGCACAAGCTTCACCCGCTGCATCTTTCAACTCGCGAGCAATACCTGCAATTAAATAATTCCTTAATTAATATTTTATAACTCTTGTTCCGCTCAATTAAAACCCAGGAAAACATTGAGTAAACGTAACACAAACTATTTCGTAATATTACGATGGAACAAGAACTGGCAGTGAAGCTCATGATAAAAGGCTACTGCATGAATGTTCGCGGCAAATTTTTTACATCAACAAATGTGAGTGAAAGCCTATCACATAGTCTATCTGATGGTAAGTGAAAAAAAAAAAGAATTAATCATCACTAGTCAAAAGGAGCCTCCGTCTTTGTCAATATAAATAAAACATAATTTAAGTGAGGGCTATTTTGACTGCTGGTATTCTTTGAGATCGCGCTTAATCGCTGGTCTAGCAAACTCATTTGGGATGCAGCCATAAAGATGCAGCGTATCCCTATCCCATCTTGGATCTTGGAATACTGTCTCGCCATTCACTTTAAGAGTAGTAGGTGCACTACTGCTGGGTGGTAGAAATAGGTTAAAAGGTGACACCTATTAAAACGGACTCCTTAGCAGTAAAGGGACTATCAGTGGTTTGGTAGCGCTGTGGTTAAGCGTATAGCTGCGACGTTATGGGATATGCGTTTGAATCCTGCACGGATTAACAATTTAGAAGAATTTCCTAAAAAATATTGTTTCTATATCTTACGATAATGTAATGGAGATTTTTATATTACGCTTTTAAACACATACTCCTGATTTGAGGTGTTAATAAAGGAGCTTTAGTGTGTCACAATATTCTAATGCAATCTTTTAGTTACAGATATGTTTGTATGGGATTCTGCTCCCCATCATTTTGACAGAAAAACCTTCATGCCGCATCAACACAGGTTAATAAATTATTTTTGTGAATGAAATTTAGGCGCTTGCTTCGCGACACATTCTTCTTCACATTCTGCTTCGATAAAAACCATTATTATTCGTCCTTCATAGTCTATAATATAAATAAAGATATTCTTATAAAAATAATGTGCTAACATCGTCTATTTCTTTTAATTTCTTATAACTGACATACCTAAATGTGCTCGGTAATGAAATAGCGCCATATCGTGAGCGCCTAACGCTTGATATGCCACCGCTAAATTCCCGTGAGTGGATGCTTCCGAACTTCTGTCATGGACCTCCTTCGATATGGTTAGCTCTTGTTTATGGTACTTTATAGCTTGCTCATAGAAGCCCGCCGCTGAGTATGCATTGCCTATGTTCCCATATGCTCGACCCATTCCTGCCTTGTCCTGTAAATGAAAACATGCAATATTTTGTATCAACAATGGCTAATCAAGCGTTTAATATTAGGGGTAGTAAAATAGCCTATAACCATTGTATTGTTTGCATGTACATACATAATAAACTTTATCTGAGATGGTATGGAGCAGGGAAGACCGTCAACTACTGAAACTTTATTTATTTTATTTCTCAGACATGCAGCGTTTCTCACGATACCTTATATTATCATCAAGCTCATATTCATGAGTTACTAGCACTTCTTTTTCTGCATCTTTATCGACCCGTTATATCCACTATCAAATTGTAGGAATAATTTGCTTTAATCTTCACGCTAGGTTTTAAATTTATAGATATGCAAGTTCTTCTTTCCAATCAAGTTCTTCTTTCCAAAAATTTAAACAATTAAATACTTATTTGTTTTCTTAACAACATCCATCATCTTCATCATCATCATCATTACAGCCTATCACAAGTCAACAGTGAACATAGAGCTCACCTAAGGAACGACACAGCATGGTCCTGATTTCTTCATGCATCAATTACCTAGGACATACCCAAGATCAGGTCGTCACTTCATGTAGTGGAGAGTCACACTGTACTTCGCTTACTCGAGAACTTTTCCCTCTCATTAAGATGTGGGTTCTTCGACCTATACGGCCGGCCCATTGCTACTTCAGCATATTTTATAATGTTAAGATACTTAAACCATCAGGCTTATGACGTAAAATACGTAAGTCTGATGGTTAATGACAAACTACAAAGACAGACTAAAAAAAAAAGATCGGTGCATCGAATCCGCCATTCGACTACTGTCTTGCACCACTTCTAACACAAGCATTTTAAACTCAACAGAAGCGGTTAAACAGATTATCATCATCATCATTACAGCCCTTCACAAGTCCACTGCTGAACATAGGCCTCGGAACGGATTATTGGTAATGTTAATACGCACAGCTAGTATTCTTTTTAAAAAAAATTAAAATATGACTCAATGATAATAATAAAATTTTCATGCTAACCTGCAGTTGTCTCGCAATTGATAAATGTGCCTGGTGTAGTTTTAATGCGGCGTCATGTTCCCCGAGCAGTTGATATACGATGCCCAAATTAGAGCAAGCCCTGCCTTCACCTACCTGCGAAATTTAACAAGTTTGTAATTAATTTGTTATCTTAATTTTAATATGACAACTATAACTTTTCGTTGTTTTGTTTATTTTGTTCAGAAAATATTTTAATCAATAATTATGAATACTGAATACAGCTGATTTTACTTTGAGTCGAATTATAATTAAATAATATTATGTTATTTTTTTAAATAATAGAAGGTAAAATAAGATATTGACAAAGAACACGTTAATTTTTTTCTATATAAATCACATAAATTATAGTTAAAAACAAAATAGAATTTGTCATAATAAATGCTATGTTTTTGATAATAGAAGCTGTTGGTTATAACCGTTACCTTATCTCTTGCCGCCAAGGCAACGTCCAATTGTCTTTCATGCCATTTCTTAGCTTGAGCGTAATCACCAGCACATCTGGAAAGAAGGACTATATGATTTTTTTATTCAAGTCAGGGAGACAAATAAGTATAAAACCACCTGATCCTCGATTTAGAATCAAAATGCATTGTCAAAGGGGACTAAGGACTATGATGGAATGCCTCGTTTAAATTTTAGTGCGTAATATTTTTAGTACCTATTTGTAAAAAAAGTATACTTAAAACCTATATTTCAAACTATAAATTACTAATAGATACATTCGCGGTTTCTGTTAATGGTAATGGACCCCCACGACACGACATAAGGTAAACACCCCCTCATTACCTTATATCGTGTATGTGGAATGAAAAAAAAGCAGATATAAGAAAAACACACGGTCCGTAGTATTGGCGAGATGTCTATATGATACCGTCGGGTAGACGAAGTAGTTTTATTTAGTTCATTTTGAAATTAAGTATCGTAATTTCTCTTTTTTATTTATGTGCAATGCAAAAATTTTCTGAGAACACAAAATAGCAGGTGACTTACTACACATTGTCAGCGCCTTCGATAGCAGTGCCATACCACTGTTGGTCAGAGGCTTGAAAACTAAAAAAGGTGACCTATTGGGTCACTTTATGGATGCAATCGATGCTTTCAAACTCGTGGCCAAAATGTTGATTGACGGGCGAGTACTTAGAAATCTGATCCATATCCGTCAAAAAAGTCATCGAAAAACATTTAATCAAAACATCAGACTAGTTATTGGGATTAACAGTAGTATCAAAAGTGTGAGGATACCTACTTGCTCAACGTCACGGTAAATCTTTCGAGTAATGCTTGCCAGCTAGCTTATTCATGATAAAGCATGTTCAGCAGCAGTCTTGGAAAGTCTGTTAGTATTTTGGTGGGTGGAATAAAATAACAAGGTAATGATTAAGATAACCGCCATCTTTTATCCTGCACTCAGCTTGGAGTGTAGGGCAACCCCCCTTTAAGTGGAGTAACAACCTAGAACCTAGAACCTACTTACAACTAGACGAAGGTGGCTTAAGACTGTGCTTTGTGGCATTACTTGGGGGAAGCGTATGATGATAAATAAATAAATGAATTCATTATGTTCCGCAAATCTTTTATAAAATAAATTGAACTCTGGTGTGATGTAATTATGATGATGATTACGATGATAAAGGTGATTGCTTCTATCGCTTCTGATAAAAAATTTACTTAATTAAAAAAATCTTCGCTTAAATTACTAGCAACTTTACCTTGCTGCGTGACCCAAACCAGCGTAGGCTCTAGCCTCAATGGCTCGATCACCTAGGTTCTGTGCTATTCTCAATACGTTTTCATGATAGGCGATCGCTTGAGAGAAGTTTCGCCTGTAGTGGTATGACGAGCCTAGATTCGAATAGGCTCTTGCTTCTTCTACCTGAAAAAAGGTTGAACCAATAAAAATATTTTTTTATATTGTAAATTTATTTGTGTGCAAATTATTTATATTTGTTATAGAATAAGGGTGACAAACGAGCACACAATCCACCTGATGGTAAGTGGATGCTGTGACCCACAGACATCTACATTTAACCTCGATTAAGTATCAAAATGCAGATGCGTTGTCACACCTGAGGACTAAGACGGAATGCCTCGATGTTAGTAAAACGGGTTTCCGGATCTCTACACTCACCATACGAAACACAGCAGGATCAAGCTGCTATTTTATGCTAGTATTCTGTGAGAGCGTGGTCAGTGACGGAGCAGTTGCGCCGACCCACTCATGCTACAACCATAATATAGCCGCAGCGTGGCTCTACCACGTACAAAATGTCGTGAGGAATCTAGAATGTCTGGGAAAGTTTGAAGATTAGTAGAGTTCTCTAACAGGCATTGATGGTCGAAGGACTCCCAATTAACTTGTTTAAAAATATCTCCCGAAGTTGAAAGGAGCCCAGCCTGCACCCAGTAGTGTAACTTACATAAGCTGTTACTTTAATTTTTTATGTAAATATTGTAATATTTACATTAAATAATATATTACTTCTAACATAATGATCATCGTCATTTTAACAGTCCATTACAGGCCGTAACACATCCAAGCTCTTAGCCACTGCGCTAACGAGCAGTCAAATAAAACGCATAATAAATAATAAAACATATAATTACTTGTCTAAAGAGGAGGAAAAAGATAGGATAAAAAATGTTTAGAATAGCGGCAAAGATTCCAAGAAATATCCATTTTCTCGGTTCACTAATTGGCATCTATTTGCATAATGTGTAGAGATTGGTCGAATCGATTAGCAGTTACAATTAAATCCCATGCTTTAGAAGATTAGACAAGACTTCACTGACAATTGAAATCCTATAAAGCTACATTGTGCTTCTAAGGATTGCAAAAGCTTGCACTTAATGCTTCCACATTATTTGTATTTATGCATTAGTTCAGTATTTATATGCCAGTGGATAAAAATGAAAACCTAATTGAGTTTACGGAGTGTTTAGGTATAATTAGTGCTATCACTGAAAGTTGTGCGATAGAAACAGTTTACATTGTTGGTGATTTCAATGCTCACCCAGGTGAGCTATTTGGTGATGAATTATTAAAGTTTTGTACGGATCAGTGTTGGCAGTGCGCTGATATGGACAAACGCGGTATGTACTCTGACTCTTTTACGTATGTAAGTGATGCACACGGTAGTAGAAGATGGCTCGATCACTGTGTGACTACTACTGCCGCTTACCAAACTGTGCGCAGTGTTGAAATTTTACACAGTATTTATTGGTCGGATCATTTCCCTTTAAGTATTACTTGTGACCTAGCAATTGTGAGGTCTAAAATATCTCAAAATATTCTTAAGAATAGTAAAATAATATGGGGCAACAGAAAACCAAATCAAATACTCAAATATAAAGAATATTGTAATTCGAAAATTAGAGATATGCATATACCGGTAGAGTTTTGCCATTTGTGATCGTATATATAATGTATAGATCACAAAGAGACTTTAGATAAGATGTATGAGGCGGAGATGTATAGTAAATACCTTAAGCGAGGCCGCAATTATGACATATGAAGGTAGTGCCATTACTGCCAAAAAAGAAAACTGTAGTCGGATGGAATAAATATGTAAAAGATGCTCATAGGGAGTCCAGGATTCAATTTGATAATTGGTTATAATTTAGCAAACCTAAAGGGGGCATTGTTTATGATCGTATGTGTGAGAGCAGACGTCGATTTAAATCTAAGTTAAAATGGTGCCAGAATCGGGAAGAACAAATTAAAATGGACATAATAGCTACTCAACATTGTAATAAGGACTTCAAAAATTTTTGGAAATCCACAAATAAATTAAATGTGCGGCCTGGTCTTCCTGTGAGCATTGGGAACACTAATGATAAAAAAGAGATTGTTGAAAAAGGCAAAATGTTGACTCTCCTTTGGGACCCATAAATGGTAAAACCTATACGGAAGCCCCCTTCGACACAAACCCATTTCGCTTCACAGCTAAACAGGTGGGTGCAGTGATTATGAACATGAAAAGGGGGAGGTCTCCTGGGTATGATGATTGAGCATTTGCAACATGCTGGTGGCCATCTTCCTAGAGTTTTGGGTTTATTCTTTTCACTGTGCTTACGACATAGATATCTACCTAATAATATAATGAGGACTATTGTGGTGCCAATTCTAAAAAATAAAACTGGGGACATTTCGGACATAACCAACTATAGAGCTATATCGTTGGCTACAATATTAGCAAGGGTACTGGACGGTCTACTTGATACGTATTTAAGAAAATATTTGCAGCTACACGATGCTCAATTTCGTTTCCGGACTGTGCTTTCAACAGAGAGTGCCATCTTGGCCCTTAAGCGAACCGTTAAGTACTACACGGGCAGAAAAACACCTGTGTATGCCTGTTTTCTAGACTTGTCAAAAGCCTTCGATATGGTTTCCTATGAAATATCGTGGAGTAAGTTGAGTAAAACCGGAATACCTGCTGAACTTGTTGCCATGTTCGAGTATTGGTACAACAATCAAATAAATAATGTCAAATGGGCAGATACGTTTTCCGATCCGTATAGGCTAGAATATGGGGTGAGAAAAGGGGGTTTAAGCTCACCGAACCTATTCAGCATGTACATTAATGACCTAATCGGTGAATTGAGCAGCACGTATATCGGATGCTATGTAGATGGAGTTTGTTTAAACAATTTAAGTTACGCCGATGATATGGTGCTGCTGGCCCCATCTGTTAGTGCTCTTAGAAAATTGTTACGCGTTTGTGAGGATTATGCTGTTAGACATGGTTTAGTATACAATGTTAAGAAAAGTCAGTTTATGGTATTTAGAGCTGGTAAAAAGTGTCCAAAGAATGTGCCTCCTATTTTGCTTAATAGCACTGCCCTAGGAAGAGTAAAAGAGTTTAAATATCTAGGCCACTACATAACTGAAAATTGTAAAGATGATATGGACATCGAGAGGGAGCGAAGGGCACTGTCGATCCGTGGAAATATGTTGATTCGTAGGTTTGCGCTGTGCAGCAAGGAAGTTAAAATTACACTCTTCAAAACCTATTGTCAATCTTTTTACGCATGCAGCTTATGGACAACGTATACAAAGCGCGCTTACAGTGACCTTCGTATTTTATATAATAACATTTTCAGGGCCCTGTTTGGGCTGCCTCGATTTTGTAGCGCATCAGGGATGTTTGCAGAAACATGAACAGATAACTTCTTTGCAATAATGCGTAAAAGAGTGTACTCGCTGTTGAGCAGAATACGTGGCAGCCGCAACATATAATGAACGTGTTCGATTTGTTGAAAAGTGACTACTCGTATTTAAGAAACTAACATTACTGTTTAAGGTGCACAATTACTAACAACTTATATGGATATATGTCTGAAATAAAAGAGTTATTATTATTATTATTATTAAATTTATACAAAAAACTTTTTTATAAATTGATTAATTTATTTATTGCAGTCCATCAAAAATTCACCGCTATATATAGGTCTTCCTAATAGATTGCTTCATAGGAGGCATATTTGCCATAGTTGATACTTAATTCCTCCCTGTTCCTTTCATCATCAAAAAGTCGGACATTTGGACAGTCTCCATACTTTTGTTGTCTACATACCATGCGTTCTGACCAAATAGTTTGTTTTGTCGTTTGTCATGTGTACAATAAAGGAGTAGAATATGTTGCCATAGTCTATCTTTCAATCTGATTACAATAAAAGTGTTTTCAAAGCAAGCGTGAACAGGCAGTTTACAGTCAAGCCAAATTACCATCAGGTGAGATAGTAGTCGAGAAACTTATTTTCCTCCAGGTTATCAATTCTTTGAGTTACATAATAAATATATAGAAACAGAACCTTACAATCTATTTTGTCATTACTCATTGACATACGCAACAATATTATAAAAAAAAACAATAACTACTATATCTTGTTGGTTAGACTCGGAACAAGAAAGTTATGCCAAAAACGGTTGTCTATCAGTATAAGTAGCGATGAAACCGAATGGTAACTTGATTTTCAGTGATGACCAAAGCCTTGAAGAATAGGTATAGTTCTGAGAACTGTAAAATAATTATATTTTTTACGAAACAATATAAGTACTCTAAACTGTATCCACCAATTCTTTTATAATTCCTATCAGCCGGCCCGTTGCCACTTTAGTTAATTAATCCGTTGGGTTGTATTGGTTAGTTAGTTCCATTGCGAATATCTTTGTTACGGATTATTTCGATCTCTTTAGCTCGCTGAACGATATTCAGCTTTGGCAGCGTAGGATTAGTTGTAAATTTAGAATAGGTGTCACATGGTCTCAAGACCTGTTACGATATATTATTACGGTCATTGAGTACATTGCCGCTTTCAGCGATTCTACCATAATTACCATATCGTCATCGATGTTGATACTGTATCCAAACTTTCCAATTCGTGCTTTAAAATGAAGAACGTTAATTTCCTGAAATTAATAATGTTGATAAAACATTGATCAAGATAATTAAAGACGCGTTAATACCTGATCGCCAAGACGCCTTGCAAGTCGTAGATGTTGCGTGTGACAGTCCACAGCGGAGTCAAATTCTCCCATCGCCAGATAAACAGCGCCAACATTTCCTATTTCTCGTGCTTCTTGTAGACGATCTCCCATCTGTTTGACTAGTTGAACGCATTGCTTATGACTGGCCAAGGCGTTGGGATAGTCTCCAATGGCGGTGTACACGTGGCCTAAGGATGTTAGGGCTGCGGCTGCGGCCTGCGTATCCTGTTAATAAACATAAAGTAAATGTTTTTGACATAATTACCCTTTTAATGTAAGTGCTAGTTTAATATAAGTGCTAGTGATAAGACACAGCGCATCGTAGACATAAAGCCCTTCAGAAGCTTGTATGTGGAATTTTTTTCAAGCAGACTAAGGCATATCACGAGTTGAAGGCAACAACTAGAATTTCTTAATAGTTACATAAGAAACTCTATCCTTTACATATTTTTCGATTCTTAGGAGTGGAAAATTTTCTTTAAATTTATATACCCTTGAAGTATAAGTTGTTTAGTAGAAGAAGCATCATTTAATAGAAGAAGAATCATTTAAGTTGGTTTAGTCATTTCTAAGATCACGGTAAAAAGACACAAAAAACATACACGGCGAATAAATAATCTCCTTTTTTAACTTAATAAAATATATGGTTTTAAAATTTACAAAAGAGATCCATTTAGATTTTTGGAAAGAACGATAATGGAGCAGAAAATAGTCTACTGAAGTTCTCCAGTATGTTATCAAGTTATCATACTGGAGAACTTCAGTAGACTAAATTTACATTTCTTAAAGTATATATTTTACTAGCGGTCCGACCCGTCTTCGCACGGGTGATTTCTGGATCTCGTCAACAGCGCCATCCACATACAATACAAACACAAAAAAAATCATCAAAATCGGTCAAGTTATTTGCGAGTATTAGCGAGACCAATTGCAGGCAATTGATTTTTATATATAGAGATAAGTTTTACTATTTCTGTATTTAATTATTTAGACGCACGTGCTAACTTAGCGCTTCAAACTGTGAAAACTAAAAATCAAAGGGTAATTTAAGTTACCAACAGTTTAAGGTCATCGGTACTACAGATAAAAAATATCGGTGAACTATGAAATTTATATTTTTTTTAATAAAATTTAAGTGACAAACGATCATAGAACCTGACTGATGGTAAGTGGCTATTGCAGCCAACCAACCGACATACAACCAACTTCAAATAATAGAATATAATTCTATTAAGCTCAGGTGGTTATTTGCAAGCTGTTAAGATATAAATAACTATTTATAAAATCTTTATCTGTCTGTATTTCTACCCAAGCTATTCTCCGCAATGGCTAAACTGATTGTGCTGAAACTTTCTGAACTATATAGAGCAATGCCTATGTAGAATATTTTATTCAAAAAACTTGAAGCTCTTTTTGAAAAAAAAAAAAAACTTACGAAAAATTGATGACATAAATGGCCTTTGGCTATCATAAAAGTTTTTTTTATTGAAAAGGTTACGGCCACAATACTTAATAGAATTATATTATTATCTATTTCGCTATAAAGAAAACTACAGATGCACTGTCTAATCTAAGAATGATGGTGGAATTCCTCATATAAATTATATTAGTGCTGTAGACACTTCAACCGGACCAGAACACAGCAGTGCAAACATTGCTATTTAGGGGCAGAAATATGTAAGATGGCGTTATCCATCCAGACGAACTCCTAGATAAAAAATGAGTCCTATCTATAAGGTCTACTTACAACCTTCTTGTAGTTTGATGTTAGTTTAAAAAGCTAGGTCCATGGGCTGCATTAACCATTTACTATCAAACCTTTAGTTGAAACTCAAAGAGGTCTAAAATCATAAGATAAAATCTTTTGAACCGGAACACGCTATAAAACTTTATCATGGAGTTCTCCTCGACTGCCTTTAGTTCCTATCACTAGATCAGTTTGAGGTTACCATAATATTGTTAAATCATATAAATTACGGCTATGTGCCGATTTTCATTAGAATCGCCGGAAGTAGGTGAAAATAAAAATTACACTTAAACTGCCGTCAGTCACGTTTTAATTGAAATCAGTACAAAGGAACTGACATGGCCGCCAAAGGCTTAAAGAAGAGTCCAATATAAGTCTTGTTTCCCTATTTTCCACTTTTAGGGTCAGAATTTTTTTCTTCAATAAGTAACAGCTACCCTGGAGGTAAAGCCTGTTTAGTGAATAATTCAAATCTGTTTACAATCTGCGAAGATATCATATAAAACTTCTCAAACGAGAGTCCAATATGATACCTTTTCTCCTATTTTCCAACTTTAGGGGTGGAACACTTTCTTCAAAATTTATTGGGGTTATCCTAGAGGCAAAGCCTATTTTGTATAAAAGAATAATTAAAATAGGTTCACTATCTTTTTTTACAGGATAGGGTGACAAACGAGCACACAGTTCACCTGATGGTAACTGGTTGCTGTGGCCCATAGACATCTACATACATCTATTCTCGATTACGAATCAAAATGTACTGTGAGGACTAAGATGGAATGCCTCGTTTCCAGTAATAAGGGTCTCAGGTTCTCTACACTTACCATATAAAACACAGCAGAATTAAGCTACTATAATATATCTGCGAAGATATCATACAAAATTCCTTAAATAAAAGTCCAATATGAAACTTTTTCCCTTATTTTACACTCTTAGGGGCGGAATTTTTTCTTCAAAATTTAAGGGGCCTAGCTAAAGCTATTAAATATAATAAAAAAAGAATCATTGAAATCGCTATACAATCTGCGATGATATCGCGTAACACATACAAAAAAAAACAATATACATTCGAATTGAGAACCTCCTTCTCTATGAAGTCGGCTAAAAATAGAATAATCTATTATTTGCTATAGTTATATATGTAGAAAGCAGGAAGTAAGGTGCTTAGATGAGTCGACTGTAGAATTAAAAACAATTTTATATATTTAAACAAACAACTACAAGAAACGACTGGATGTGTTTCCTGTTCAATTTGACCACTTAAGTAGTTTAACTTTTTATAGACCATTCCTGGGAACGCTCTAAGGCAATATCGTAAATCGCTAAAGGACATTCACGCCACAGACTCTTCGAAAAAGCCCACCTTTACTACTTCAACAGATAATACCGAGATTTGTGTTCACGAATAGAATAGATAAAAAAATTATACGTTGATCTATCACTTTTATGCCGTTCTAAATAGGATTTAAGTGATAAAAATTATTCACCTTTAGTATTGAATTGAGAGAGTTTCTTAGAAAAGAGATATGGGATAGAATATTGATATTCAATATGATTGGATATTCAATATTCATTAATAAATTACAATGAAGTGACTTTTCATTGCATAACAAAATTGATAAAATGTTATATATATCATTTGGTATACAATGCATATAGAACATATTCAAAAAAGTCAAATACTTATAATTCAATGTTTCAAACAGCTTTTGTTTATAAATTTATTAAATATTTATTTTAAAATTTTCTATAAAGTAAAAATTATTGTTTGAACTGTAGAAAAGAAAATATGTAAATCCAAAATTACTTACAATTAGTATTTATAGGTAGGAAATTAAAGTTATTGTCTATAATATTTCACAGCTGGACCACACTTAATATTACAATTAAATTAAATTAAATTAAATTAGTGCCAGCGGGGATCACACACAGATTTCTACGGCTATAAAAATTATGTTTAAATGTTACTATTATATTTATTATATTTTATATTTCCTTTTCTACCAAAGAAATATTGAAAAATAATTCTACAGGCTGGTAATTACTATCTACGTCATTTTGTTTGGATTTTTTTGTAGGAGAAGCTGACAAGCGAGCACACAGCCCACCTGACGGTAAGTGGTTGCTGTGGCCCATAGACATCTATATCTATCCTCGATTACGAATCAAGATGCAGATGCGTTTGGGTCTCCAGTTCTTTATACTCACCATACGAAACAGCAGCGTTAAGCTGCTATTTTACGCTGGTATTCTGTGAGAGCGTGGTCCTTCCCCGGTCGAGCCGACTCATTCGTGCTATAAACTATACTACTAATATAGTTGCAACATGGCTTTATCACTTTTATAAATTAGTTGTCTTCCGGACTGAATTTCGATCACGGCGGCCAGCCTCAACGGAGACAAGTCATCGGCGCAGGACAGGATAATGGTGTCCAAGTGTATGCGTTAGCACAGGTGCACTCTATTCCCTCATTCTCGTAATGAATCTAATCTCTCGTATCTAAATCTCGTAATCTCGTACTTTCCGAAGCACGGGGGTGAGACACCGCCAACTTCCTGACTCCGGGCAGCTATTGACAATTTCTTGACGGAAAAAATTCAATAATTGATTTATGGCCCGATCCGGGATTCGAACCCAGAACCTCATGATCGTCGTCAATAACAGTCGTACTACTACAACCACTAGGTTTTATACAACTGATGTAAAGTTAGTTTGATGAGAGCTATCCGCGTTATAAATAATGTACTAAAGTACTAAAGGTTACTGAGTCACAGTTATTTACATTTTTTAGTGCTTGAAGTTTTTAAAGTAAATATATTGGTAGCACTGGATATGCGAGTTCTTTAGTGTCACTCAACAATAATAAAATGCGCTTTTATTAGAACTTAGAAAGGTGAAATTCATCTGTAAACTCGTTCTAAAGCGAATTGTACAAATTATTAAAAGTTATCGATTATATGTTTCAATTAATGTAGAGCTCATTTTGAGTACATAATGATTTCTTCTACTCACGGGAATACTAGGTAGACATTGAATCAAACTAATTGTATAGATATTATCGCGCTTATTTTAATTTATTTTTACTCCATAGTCACAGTGTCCTGTGGCTATAGATGCTGAAAAGCAATCGGAAATTAGAATAAGTAAAAATAAGTTAAATTAAACGCGATAAAATATGTAAGATTAGCTTTATTTAATGTCCCCTTGTAAATACTTAAATAATGTGAACCGGCTAATAATTAGATACGTTGTACTTCTAATAGTAGGTAATTGCTTTCTTAAAGTATGCAGTTGCGATAATCTTTCTTTTGTTCATGATTTTACAATAGTCTACTACTAGTCATAAACAATGAAAAATAAAGCTTCCCATTTTAGGAGGGAATTGTAACACGCTTAGTGGGTGGCTCCAATCCACTCCAGTTCAGTTTTGAATCTCCTCTGCTCCCCGTCGCCGGTTCATATATTATAAAATTAATA